AATAGTTTATTGTCAAATTAGTTTCTACATAACACTCAGTGCTCATCCCCAAAGTGCCCTCCTTCATGCCCATCCCCCCCTCCCCCCCACATCCAATTACTATTAGTCTTTCTAACATGAGCTATATTTGGATTTGACTAACCTACGAGTTTTAGTTTGATTTTCTTCCCTTATGCTTGTATTTATTTAAAATACTTCTAAAATAAGACCCCAGGGGCACCTGGGTGGCTTAGTCATTAAGCATCCACCTATTGGTATCAGCCCAGGTCATGATCTCACAGTTCCTGGGTTTGAACCCTGCATCAGGCTCTGTGCTGACAGTGTAGGGCCTGCTTGGGATTCTATCTCTCTGCCCTTCCCCTGCTCATATGGATACTCTCTCTCAAATAAATAAACTTTAAAAAACATTTTTTTTAAGTAATAGGATCTGGGGCACGTGGGTGGCTTAGTTGGTTAAACATCTGACCTCGGCTCAGGTCATGATCACACGGTTCGTGGGTTCGAGCCCCACGTCAGGCTCTGTGCTGATGGCTAGCTCAGAGCCTGGAGCCTACTTCAGATTCTATGTCTCCCTCTTTCTCTGACCCTCCCCTGCTCACGTGTTCTCTTTCTCTCTCAGAAATAAATTTTTTTAAAAAACGTAAATAAATAAAAATTTAAAAATAAAATAAATAAATAAAGTAACAGGATCTGATAGGTGTATGGAATTGTAGGACTTCTCTTTTTATTGTTATTTTACGTTTTCAACACAGGAAAGCAGAGATCCCCGGAAACTTCATTGGCTCTTTGAGCTACTGTTGGAATCACCATTGAGTGGTGAAGGAGGATCCTTTGTAGATGCATGGTAAGTAAAAGAAAACTTACAAGGTTAACAAAAGATTTTGCAATAAAAGAGAACAGCTTTGCTCTTGTTGCGTAAATGGAAGTGAACTATCTATACTCCTAAAGGCTAGTGGTTGTAACTATTCTCTTCTGAGAGATGAATGATCCAGTTCAGTACAATTTATGATACTATGTAGAGTTATTTCTCCAACTGGGAAGAAGTGGAAATGAAGGCAACCTGAGCAATTCAAACGAAATTTAGTTTCAGCCATCTCTGCAGTCAGATCTTTTCTATTGGGCTGCTTTTTTATGCCATGACAATACTAACTTCTTCATCACATCCTCTCCCTTTTCACTCTTGTTAGGAAAGAACAGAGTAATCCTTTCAAGGAAAAACATTTTTGATGGGATATAAGGAGCTGGAAATAATTAGTAGACTAGAGAAGGAAATCTAAGTTAATTCTGCTAAGAGAATAATAATGTGTGGCTATTACTATTTAATGGGGAAAATTCTGATGCTTAGAAATCCATTCGTATTCTCAAGTCAGTATTTCTTTTGATTATGTAGTAGCGGAGATGAAATGAGAATCCAGAGAATATGATGCGGTAAAAATAATAAAATCTAAATAAAGGTGCTATTTTGAATTGTCCATTTTATTATTTATTAGGTAAGAAAATGAAACCATTTGAAGTAGAATCTAAACTCTATTAGTCTATACTGTCATATGGAAAGGCAGGGTCAGGCTCTAACACAGCTCTCCTGTGCTTTCATTCTAGTCGACTCTATGTGCTGCAAGGTGGCCTTGCCCAGCAGGAGTGGAGAGTGCCGGAGCTGTTGCACAGACTGCTGAAGTACTTGGAACCCAAACTCACCCAGGTTTACAAAAATGTCAGGGAAAGAATAGGGAGGTAGGTATTATTTTCTCTGTGGTATGGTATACTTCTTGAGTTCTTTTTTTGTTTAATTTTAGTGTCTAATAACACGCACTGGTTGTGTTATATTGAATTCCATGGGTACTCTTCCTCAAATTGTGTTGTATACTATGTGTGGGACACTAGACAGGAGGCCGTCATGTAAGCCAGGACAGCAGTGAGCTCGTAAGCCAGAGGCGAGCGTTTGACCGGTTCTCATTGCCTCCAGATTCTAGGCTGAGCACAAGAAACTCTCGCAGGAGTCAGCGTTCAAATATTTACTTTGGTTGAGTCATCGCTTTTGAATCTTAGTTTTATTGATAATGTGGGATTTCTTCTCATTTTACAGCGTGCTGACCTACATATTTATGATAGATGTTTCTTTGCCAAATACTGCGCCAACAGCATCCCCTCGAGTCCCTGAGTTTACTGCTCGAATTCTAGACAAACTGAAACCCCTCATGGATGTGGATGAAGAAATTCAGAACCATGTTATGGAAGAAAATGGAATTGGTGAAGAAGATGAACGAACTCAAGGCATTAAACTCTTAAAAACTAGTGAGTGGCTAAATTAATAGAAACTCACTTAAAAATGGACAGTTTATTACCAAGAAGGAAAAAAAAAATCAGAACAAAACAGACATTTATTTAGATTATCCTTATGTTTCCCCACACACCCCCACCCCCTCCTTTTTTACTGTGGTAAAACGTACATAATATAAAATTTACAGTTTGGTGGCATCAAATACATTCATGTTGTTGAGCAAGCATTGCTTATGTCTGTCTCCATGACTTCATCTTGCAAAACTGAAGCCCTGTACCCAGTAATCTGTAAATTCTCATTCCTACCCTCCCTCTGCCCTGGCAGCCACCATTCACTCTCTCTCTTTGAGTTAGCCTATTGTAGGTAGTTCATAAATGGAATTACACAATATTTGTCTTTTTATGTCTGGTGATTTAACTTTGCATAGTGTTTTCAATATTCATTTATCTGTCAGTGGACACATAAGGCTGTTAATGCCTTTTGGCTACTATGAATAATGCTGCTGTGAGCAGTATTGTACACATATCTGTCTTGAATCCCTGCTTTCAATTCTTTGGGATATTGGAAGTGGAATCGCTGGACCATATGATAATTCTGTGTGTGACCTTTTCAAGAGCCACCAAGCTGTTTTCCTCGGGCTGCAACTTTTTTCTATGCCTACCACCAAGCACTGCAAGAGAGTTGCAGTTTTTTCATACTCATGCCAGTGCTTGTTTTCTGTTTTTTTGTGACTTAAAACTATCCATATGAGTGTGAAAAAGATAACCCTGTGGTTTTTATGTGTGTTTCCCTAATGATCAGTGTTTAAGCATCTTTTGATTTGCTTATTTACCTTTCTTTTTTAATCTTCAGAAAAATGTCTCTTCAAGTCCTTTGCCCAAGTCCTCTGTTATTAATTTTGTTATTGAGTTGTAGATCTTTATATATTCTGGATATCAGCCCTTTATCTGATATGATTTGCAAATATTTTCTCAGTGGGTTGTCTTTTCACTCTTAATAGTATCCTTTGATATATAAAGGTTTTTAATTTTGATGAAGTCTAATTTATCTATTTTTCCTTTTGTTGCCTTTGTTTTTGGTATCATATCCAAGAAATCATTGCCAATCCAATGTCATGAAGTTTTTCCCTTAAATTTTTTAAAGAATTTTATACTTTTAGTTCTAAAGTTGAGATCTTTAATCCACTCTAATTTTTGTATACAGTGTAAAGTGAGGGTCAGTTTCATTCTTTAGCTCATGGATTCCCAGTTTCCTGGCACCATTTGTTGAAAAGACTATCATTTCTTCATTGAACATAGCACTCTTACTGAAAATTAGCCATATGTGTGAGGCCTTATTTTTACTCTCTAGTTTATTCCATTGGTTTGTAAGTCTGTCCTTATGTCCGCGCCACAGTGTTTTGAATGCTGCAGTTAGTAGTAAGTTTTGAAATCTGGAAGTATGAATCATCCAACTTTGTTGTTTTTCAAAATTGTCTTGGGTATTGAAGGTGTCTTGTAATTTTTATATTTAAATATTTTTCAAGCATTTTAAGTATAAACAACTTAGTTATCACTTTTACTACATTAAGATTAATGAAGGCTAGTTTTAATCTGTAGTAGGCGTTGGTGTTTAGTAGGTTGTTAACAATTTTGCTGATTCATTTTTTGAGAGTGGCTTCAGTATCCTACCTAGTTGGTTGATACCTGTTATTGTGGTTCCTGTCATCATGCTGGAAGTAACATGGAGTTTCTCTTAGCATTGAAGAGTCAGTTACCAGAGTTATTAGAGTGGCTCTCTGACACGAGCACTACAATATTATTCTACTTTTTGCTTCCTAACTGTGTAGCAGAGACTGATTCTGTGTGTGTGTTTTCAAATAGTATTGAAATGGCTGATGGCTAGTGCAGGAAGATCCTTCTCTACAGCAGTCACAGAACAACTTCAGCTTCTACCTTTGTTTTTTAAGGTAAGTTTATGGCTGAAATTAAGAAAACATCCCCTCTGTTAATTAACTGGAATCTAAATAAAACCTTGGAAAGGAGGGAGGTGGGAAAGAATGCATCTCCTTCTGACCATCACAGGGAATTTATATTTATCATCTGATGGCTCATAGTTTTATAGATATGTAGGACTTGGTTGGATCTCTAAGAAGTAGAATAGCTGCAGGGAAATCTTGAGGCGATGGTAGTTTAATACTAGTTGAAATCATCTTTTCAGTATTAGGTAAGCCTGGGATCTTGACAGATGCATGAAAAGTTCACAAACATAACACCGTTTCACTGATAACCAATTTCCAAGTAATAGTTTAGGAAAATACTGGTAACTTTAAAAAAAAAAGCCATTTTTTGAAATGTAGCTATTTCTGATTTTTTATTCAGTATATAATAAATCTGAGGTTTTATTATATATTATACTTACATATACAGTATATTGTATTTATTTTACAGTGTTCAGTGGTTCAGTAGAACTATAATAGCTTCTAACAAATATCTGCCAGAAATAACTTGTTTCTGGTAATCCTATAAAGACATGGAAGTTGAATTTGAATTTCTAATGAAATCATTAGAAAACTGTGTTGTATGAATTGCTTGTGACAGGCCTGACATTTCACATGCATCTACAGATCCTAAAGTTGAGAGTCTGCTTTAGGCCATCGTGGTGAATGGGGTCTGGGGTACAAAGACACTATATAATACACAGAAGAACAGTCACTTCACAGGCAGATCAGCTTTGTAGAGTGAAGATAAAGAACGGAGTCCAAAAGCAAGTTGTTGCTTATTAAACTGTGAGAGGCACTCAGAAATAGTTGGAAATGAGATCAGAAGTTCTGTTTTGGACATCATTCAGATGTTTCTTAGACTCTAAATGAAGTATTATATATCTTATCCCATAAAAAGCAGTTATGTATCAATTTTTTAAAAACCTTGAAATCTATATCAAAGTGAAAGTTTTGATTATTTGCCTGTTCTAGTTGAAAGAGTCTCCATCTTGCTGAAGGTTAAAGGAAGAGGATTTCCAGCCAGGAATAGTTAACACAGCACTGGTTTTAGACTCAAAAAGAAAGAAAGAAAAGATCTACTTTAAAATTGTGTTTGTGACAGGTGCAATTTTCTGATCTTGCACAAGCTACTGATCTTGTAAGACTGTTTCCTTATATATAAAATGAGGGATAATAGTAGTATCCCTCACAGAGTTGTTGCAAGGATGAAGTGAGATCATGCCTGCAAAGCAGAGCGCACAATGTCAAATACTTGTATATATTGTAATTATTGTATATTGTTACTAGTCTTTAACTGCATTTTATTTTTTTTAAGGTTTACTTATTGTTAGAGAGAGAGAGAGAGAGAGAGAGAGAGAGAATCTGAAGCAGGCTCCAGGCTCCGAGCTGTCTGCACAGAGCCCAGTACTGTGAGTTCAAACGAACTCACAGACTGTGAGGTCATGACCTAAGCTGAAATCAGATATTTAACCAACCAAGCCACCCAGGTGCCCGAACTGCATTTTAGTGAGTTCAGTGAGTTCAGATGAGATCAGAGGAAGAGAGCACATGTTGTATCCTGTTTCAGACTTCACTAAGTGCTCATCAAAACTTCCCACTGTAGAATAGTTTCACATATACCAAACTTAGAGAAAAATTTACAGATGTTGTTATAACTGGTCCAAAATTGCATGCCATTAGAGTGCCTGGGTGGCTCAGTCAGAAATTTATAGATCACTTAGAAATATCTAGGCAGTTCACTCCCTGGGGACCTAGATAACAGAATGTAACAGCCTCCTCAAGATGCTGTCTCCTTGAATTTCTCTCTCCAAGATTTCGGATGTCTAGAAAAAGTCTCATCAGCCAAGCTTCCATCTCTTGCTACACTTTGGCTAAGCTATACGATCCCTTGATTTACAGACCTACCAGAATGACAGAAAAAGATGCTTTTCCAAAGTTAATCAAAATGCACTTGTCAGCAGGAGGGATTAATAAATTGGCAAGGAAATGCAAATTTATGCTACAAGTAGACCATAAAATACCCTTCTTCCTTCACGTCTTAAGGAAACCCAGATCACTCTACGTCAGTCTGTTCTGTAGTATGACCAGAAAGCAAAAGATAATAATTAGCAGTACCTGAAAAAAGCCCCTACATTTCACGGGCATAGGCTTTTTCCCCCAAACTTTATTTTGAAATAATAATAATGCACGGGAAGTTACAAAGATAGTTCAAAGAGGCTTCATGTACTCTTCACTCAATTTTCTCTAGTAGTTACAGTTTTTAAAACTGCAGTGCATTCTCAAAATCAGAAAATTTGAAATGAGTACAACATGTGTATAAATCTATGTTATACCCCCTTTAGTGCCAGGTGAACATTCCCAAACTTGAAGGTTGACTGAATCTTCCTGTTTCTATAACTACACATATGGCAGTTAGAACATTATGACAGTGTACGCATGTGTTCTTTTAAAAGTCATATCTAGAAAGAAAAATAATGCTTTAAGGAAATATTAAAGTTGAAAACTATAAAGTTAAAGTGAGTTGGTACGATTCAGGCAAAGTCACCTATAGAGTTGTTGCTGATAAAGAAATGTAAACATGATTTTTTGAGATGAACTAAAGAAAGTACTCTTGGGGAGACTGGCTGGCCCAGTTTGTAGAGCCTCTGACTCTTGATCTTGGGGTCATGAGTTCGAGCCACATACTGGGTGCAGAGTTAAACAAATATATAAATACTTTTTTTAAAAGCATTGGAGGGGGAATACTCTTCCAAACTTAGAGGATTTATTTGTAACTGAAAAGGTTTTCATTCCACAAACAGGATGTTGCTAATAGATAAAATCACTGCAAAGTAAAATATCTAAGAGATTTAGGGGTGCCTGCCTGGTTCAGTCCAAGGAGCATGTGACTCTTGATCTCGACGTTGTGTGTTCTACTCCACATTGAGGGTAGAGATTACTTAAATAAAAACTTGAAAAACTATAAGAGATTTTTGTCTCACTGGCCTATAGAAGTAGTCTATCCCAAATGAGTTGTTATTCTTTGCTAGTAGTAATGGTTAATTTGCTGCTTTGGAACATGATATTCTTTATAGTGAAGTTTATCCATTGAACTTTAGGATTTTACTGGTTTTAGTAGAACATTTTAACCTGTTCTCAACATGAGAACATTATGTCCTAATTTTATTCATAAAATACGTTTGTTTGGGTTTTTTTCCATAAATGGTAGGAAGAGACACTACTGATTCAATAGGTGAGTGAGTCACCTTAAATTTTCCTGGCGGTCATGGTAGGCCCAGCAGCAAATGAAGCTCTTCTTTTTTATACTATAGTTCAATTAACAGACTCTAAACCACCTCATGTTTAGTGGAGATGAGCTAAATGACAAAGGAAAACAACTCCGTCTACATGGCCTGGAGATTGGGACTGTTGGGTATCTGTAGTAATTTTTATCCTGGAGTTGATTGTTTGGTGTGTATCTTTTTATACCTTTTTGAGCACACCTGTGCCATGCACCACACTGGTGTGTGCATGGAATTGTGGTACAAAAGCCAGAACTAGTTGATTTTGCAAATTGATAACGACCGTCTTTTCACATAACTACCTCTCTCTTTAATGACTACTGTATTATCGTTTAATCAATTTTCTATGGATGGTCACTGGTTATTCCCAGCTTTTGGCTGTTAAAAACAGTGCTAATAGTCTTTTACAAATATGGGTATATTTGTAGGATAATTACTGTGGATGAAATTGCTGCATAAGAGGTCTATTTGTATATGTAATTTTAGTAGATCCTGCCCTCCAAAGAGCCTGTCTTATCTCATTCCCACAAACTCTGATGTTTCTTAAAACTTTTGATGGTTAAATAAAAATTATTGTTCTTGGGGTGCCTGGCTGACTCAGTCAGTATAGCAAGCAACTCTTAATCTCAGGGTTGTAAGTTCAAGTCCTACTTGGGACATGGATCCTACTTTAAATAAATAGATAATTAAAAACAAAAATAAATAAATAAAATGAAAATAAAATCATTGTGCTTCTTTAGTGAGACTGCCTACTTGTACATTGGCTCATTTTATTTATCTGCCAGCTATCTGTATTTTGCCAATTTTCTTTTGTGTTATAAAGATGTTCCGTTTTTAAAAGCTTCTTTATTTTTAATGGTGTTTTGAAGCATGCCAGTCCAAGATCATTTTTTTTAAACAAATCTTTTTTTGTCTAATTTTTATGGTTTTATCCTTGCATTTAAATTTGCATTGTAATGGGGTGCCTGGGTGTCTCAGTTGGTTAAACGGCCGACTTTGGCTCAGGTCATGATCTCATGGTTCGTGAGTTCAAGCCCTGTGTCAGGCTCTGTGCTGACAGCTCAGAGCCTGGAGCTTGCCTCAGATTCTTTGTCTCCTTCTCTCTCTGCCCTTCCCCTGCTCACGCTCTGTCTCTCAAAAGTAAATTTTTTAAAATTTTTAATAAATAAATTTGCTATATAAAGTATTGATGTAAAAGTGCAGCTTAATTTTTTTTTTTAATATTTTATTTATTTCTAGGAGAGAGAGAGACAGCGTGAGCAGGGGAGGGCCAGAGAGAGAGGGAGTCACAGACAGAAACAGGCTCCAGGCTCTGAGCTGGCAGCCAGCACAGAGCCCGACGCGGGGCTCGAACCCACGAACCGCGAGATCATGACCTAAGCGAAAGTCGGACGCTTAACCGACTAAGCCACCCAGGCGCCCCAAAAGTGCAGCTTAATTTTTAAGATTACCTTTTCTTGATTGATCTGAGACAGAATCTGATAGGCTGATTTTACTAAAGTCTGCTAAGGGAAATTAACATGGTGAATTAGTATACTCAACTTGAGGTTTAGCTGTTAAAGAAAAATCATTCCAATACCTGTTAAAATCGTAAGGAAGACTTTAGTTAGGTCTGTTGTCATAGGTGTCAAGACTGTCTAAGTACGAGAGAGAGAGCCTGGGCTAATACAGCAGACAGCTGGGGATACTTAGTCAACAAGCCGAATGGGAGGAGGTGTCAGTGGATAGTGTACTAAGAGGAGACATCATGGGTAGGGAATTCTTGCTAAACGGACTTGACAGGATTTACATGGAAAGCAGCCCATTATGATCAGATACCAAAGGTGGAGGTCAGGAATTGGGTCAGATAGGATGAGGGAATTCTCTAAAAACAGACTTGTCAGAATTCTTGCTATAACTGGATTCAGTAGGCCCAAGGACAAAAAGAGCTCAGAGTAACCTGGCTAAAGCTGGGTAAACAAGGAGTAAAAATAAAGGCATGGTTAAGTTTCCATTTGTTATGGGTATGCAAAGAAATTTGGGAATACTAAACTGTGAATATGTGACCTAAATTGACTTAATCTTTACTGTTTTAGAGAAAAATAATTTTTCGCGTATTAAAAATACAATTTTAGAAGAAACAAGAGAGGCGCTTGGGTGGCTTAGTCGGTTAAGTGTTTGATTTTGGCTCAGGTCATGATCTCACAATTTGTGAGTTTGAGCCCCACGTCGGGCTTCCTGCTGTCAGCCAGCACAGAGCCTTTGGATCCTGTCTCCCTTTCTCCCATTCCCTCCTCCATGCACACACGTGCTCGCTCGCTCTGTCTCTCAAAAATAAATATTTTTTTTTTAAAAACCAAGAAAATAGACTATTTTAGAGGACACTTATTTAAGAGTTAGAGATCAAGAAGGCTACCTGAGTGTAATTTATTTTACCAATTTGTCTTTGGAGCCTTAAAAATACTTTTTATGATCAAAAAACAAAATTAAATGAAAGTCGCCTTTACAAACAGCAAAATGAAATAAGTCTCACCTTGATGTGTATCTGGTTAGAAGGATAAATACAGAGTGGTGACTTTTAAAACAAAATCAGTGGCATCTGGGTGGCTCAGCCAGTTAAGCATCTGACTCTTGATAATGGCTCTGGTCATGATCTCATGAATCATGAGATCAGCCCTGCATCAGACTCTGCATGCTCTCTCACTCACTCTCTCTGAAAATAAATAAACTTAAAAAAAAGAAATCATGCATGCCTTGTGGGAAATGCAGTCTTAAATATGGAATGAAGCTATCACGTCTATTATTTAATGAAGAGCAAATAGTAATTGTCAACAGTGTAAAAAAAAATTCAACAGAATAATGTAATGACTACTGTTCATTTGGCTTTGTTTAGTGATTCATGAATCAGGGCAGTACCCCTTTAGCAAATAGAAGTGAGCTCCAAGGAACTGTATAAAATAGAAGGTTTTTTTCAAAAGACTATAAGGGGATGGTGCAAGGAAGGGCATAACAAAAAGGATTATTTCTAACAAGGTCATCTTTCTTTAGGGGAGGCTCAGAGGTCTGTCATGCAGTGTACTTTACTATTACTATCACTGGTAAGGTAATTCCAAATTACCTGGGTGATGGTCAGGTTCCTGGGAGTAACTGAAAACTACAATTAAGTCTTGGTTTGCAGGATTGGAGGCAGTTGACATCATTTTGAGCCCGTTCCTTTTTTAACAATAGGAACTGAAATTTTTAGCATGAGTGACAAGAGATATATTTCATGCAGCTGTTTAGTAAAATCTCAGTAATCCTAAATTTGGGAACTTCACTATGATCTCATGATCTGTTTCTGTTTAGAAAATATGCTTATTTCTTAGCTCTTTCCCCAGAAACTCATAACCACTAATCAGCCTAGTAGTGATCAGTAGTAGTGCCCAGATTATGGTTTCTAGGTATCATTTCCCACTAGGAGAATCAGGGCTCCTTGGAGAAGTAGTGGACTTCAGGTTTGGACCAGAAATGTACAGATTAAACCTAATTCGTCTTGTAGCAGAAACCAAGGATGTTATAGTTACATTAAGGATTCAGGAACCATTTTGAGCACCACTAAAATTAAAACCATTAAGTTTGTTGAAATTCATTAGTTCATAATGACATTTAAAAAAATTCATTGTTCATCTTTGGAGGATAGGAAAGAAACCATTACTCTTAAGGAGGGAAGGCTTTTCTCTATGAAAAAGAAATGAATGTCACCATTTTGCAGACCTTTTTATAATGGTTCATCACAAAGAAAACTGACCATAAGTAAAGGAAATACACACCACTTATGTTGTACTCCTACAATTAGACTTGAATAAAATCAAGCCTCTAGATCTAATGGGCACTTTGCAGGACATACTGGAGCCAATGAATGCCACTGCATGGATGCAGTCAGAGAAGGACGGCCATTAATAGGGGACAATACAAAACTGAGGAGCCAGGCCTTCCTCTACTTTGTTAAAAAAAAAAAAAAGAGAGAGAGGTAAGGAGGGGCGCCTGGGTCTCAGACATTTAAGCCTCCAACTTAGGTCATGATCTCATAGTTCCTAAGTTCAAGCCCCACGTGACACCTCAAAAATAAATAAACATTACAAAAAATCAAAAAAAAGAAAAGGCAAGGACTTTTAAAAGAAGATGGAGAGTTTCAGAGCCACATGAACCAAATCCACGGTGTGGTCCTTATGTTGAGCCAAATTCCAAACAACCTGTTGCAGTAACATACATACAAAATAATTAGGGGAAATTTGAACACTACATTTCACATTTTAACTATAGTGAATTTTAATGGGTGATGTCATTTCAGGTTTGTTTTTAATAAGAAACTTTTATCTTTTAGAGATCTATAATAAAATATTTATGGACGAAATATGTCTGGGATTTGCTTCAAATAATGTAATTAGGGGATAAGGTCAAAAAATGGGAGGGTTATCTGAGTTTCCAATTGTTGAAGAGGTAATTGATTCCCTAGTTTTTGTATATATCTGAAAATTTGCGTAGAAGGTTACTTTTAAAAGTAAAATGTGATATCTTTTATGTAAGGATGCCTTTGTACTTGCTGGCTGTTTTATTCAATTATGTGTTTGTTTCATTATTCTCTAGATTGCCCCAGTGGAAAATGACAATAGCTATGATGAACTGAAAAGAGATGCAAAGTTATGTTTGTCACTAATGTCTCAGGGGTTGCTTTACCCTCATCAAGTGCCTTTGGTACTTCAGGTGCTAAAACAAGTAAGAGTGTATAACAAATACTTCTGTGATTTGGTTAGAATTTGGTGTCTCCATTCTAAGAACTTCCGAGTCCACCGTAGTGCACATAGTACCTGAAATTTGTCTTTCATTTTGAATTTTCTTTAAGTATGAGAGAAGATGTAAATTGACCAAAGAAACAGACCCAGGTTCTGTACCTGCCTCTGCCACCAACTTCTGTGACCTTGGGGAGGTCAACCCCCAGATTCTCTGTATACACAAAGAGCTACTCATTTAAGCACCTTGGATATTATGTGCTAATGAGTAAGGGGGGTGGCGATTCCCTTTCACCATTTCCCTTTTATTTTATTCACTTGTATTTCCTAGTTTCTGGTTAAAAATAGTAATAATGACATGCAACTCTTAGAGGAGTCAGAGTATTAATTATAAATAAGTTTTCTTCAGAAGTTGACTTTTGAATGTGTACTTTTCCCTCTCCTTTCAACCATTCTGAATGACTTTACCTAAATCATTTATGCAACTTTTTATTTAGAAGGATATATGACATGAGCTTGCTCTAACTATACTTGTAAAAGTAGAGTTGTAGTGGATAGTATTATTTGTGTCTAATTTCTGTCATTTCCTCTTCTTAGTAGCACTGTTTCCCTTGTTTCTACTTCTTCTCATTCACAGACCGCAAGAAGCAGTTCTTGGCATGCTAGATACACAGTACTGACCTACCTCCAGACCATGGTATTTTATAACCTCTTTATCTTCCTCAACAATGAAGATGCAGTTAAAGACATCAGGTGGCTGGTTATAAGTCTTTTGGAGGATGAACAGCTAGAGGTAAAGATTGAGATACAGGAAATCACATGTAATACATTAAAAGAAGGCATCATGCCCTCGCCCCTCTAACATAGTCTACGTGATTAGTTTTGATACCCTAATCATGATTTCCGGTTGTACAAATAGAAACAAACATTGGGCCTGTACTTGTTCTGGCATCTCTGCACTTGGGCAGATCACATTTTTGAACCAAAGTTTTCTTATACGTGAAATTGCAGGTGATAATATTTTGCTTGCTAACTTAAGGGCTAATAGGAATGCCCATGCAGGCAGTTTCAAGCAAATAAAAATCTACACGCAAGTGCTGTTATCCAGTAGATTTAAAGTAAGACTGTCACCCCTTTTTATTTTCCTTGGTAGAGAAATTCAAGGCAACTTTTGTGGTGAGGTTACATTAATATTTTGTACAAAAAGATAAATCTCTTAGTTAAAATAGCCAAATGTAAGAAAAGCATGTTGTAATAAATATGGAATAAGATACAGCTTTTGAAATTGGCCTTAGGTAAAGAAAATGTAATTGAAATTTTTGTGAAATTTGTACCTTTTTTTAATTTTATGGGCTTTTAGGTTTTTCTGTGTGGTAGAGCACTCCCAGTAATTATATATTCTATTTGAGAGCACTGAAGATAGATTGATTACATCTATTCCTAATAGAAAAGTAGGAATGGAAATTTTTCCTCCTCCCTAATGAGCCTATTCGTTTTGCAATACAGCTTTCTTGTGTTCTGGGAGCCGGTATCATCTAGCCCCTCAGGTACCCCCACAGTTGGTTATGACAACCACCACAGGCTTCAATTTAAATATTTACAGCTGTGCATAATTCTGTAACTTATATTTTTTAATAACTAAAGGAATGGAAATGGAAATGTGGAAATCTTGAAATCAACATTTCCAAATTTTAAATATTACAGCAGTCACATTAAATTGCATTTACTGTTTGGCTGGACCTTGTAGAACATTTTCACAGATTATTTTTATGTTCCACGTAGTAGGCTTAAGCATAACTGTTACTATAAGTATAACCATGACATTCATTAAAGCTACCTTTCTTTTTTTCCTAAAAAAATTTTTTAAGTAATCTCTAAACGTAGTGTGGAGCTCAGACTCACAACCTCAAGATCAAGAGTCACATGTTCTACCCACTGATGAAAACAGCCAGGTGCCTCTGTCCTATTTTTAAAACAGAATATTGAGTATTAGTAATAATTAGTAACAGCTACTCCTGATAATACTGAAAAAACTTTATAATAATCTAAATGAGGAATGTTTGAAGAAAACTTAGATTTAAAGGAAAACTTTTCAGGGTGTCTGGCTGGCTCATTTAGTAGAGCATGTGACTCCGTTTTAGGGTCATGAGTTCAAGCCCCATATTGGGTGTAGAGCCTACTTTTTTTTTTAATAGTTCATTGTCAAGTTGGTTTCCATATAACACCCAGTGCTCATCCCCACAACTGCCCTCCTCCATGCCTATCACCCTCCTTTACTTCCCCCCGACCCCCATCAGTCCTCAGTTTGTTCTCAGCATTTAAGAGTCTCTCATGGTTTGTCTCCCTCCTTCTACCCCACTGTTTTCCCCCCTTCTTCTCCCCCGCGGTCTTCCATTAAGTTCCTCCTGATTGTCCTATACGTGCAAACTTGATATCTGTCCTCTGCCTGACTTATTTCGCTCAGCATAACACCCTCAAGGTCCATCCATGTTGCTACACATGGCCAGATTTCATTCTTTCTCATTGCCATGTAGTATTCCATGGTATAGATAAACCACATCTTCTTGATCCATTCGTCCATTGATGGACCCTTAGGCTCTTTCCATGTTTTGGCTATTGTTGAGAGTGCTGCTATGAACATTGGGGTCCATGTGCCCCTATGCATCAGCACTCCTGTATCCCTTGGACAAATTTCTAGCAGTGCTATTGCTGGGTCATAGGGGAGTTCTATTGTTAATTTTTTGAGGAACCTCCACACTGTTTTCCAGAGGGACTGCACCCGTTTGCATTCCCACCAACAGTGTGGGAGGGTGCCCGTTTCTCCACATCCTCGCCAGCATCTAGAGTCCTCTGATTTGCTCATTTTAGCCCCTCTGACCGGCTTGAGGTGGTATTTCAATGTGGTTTTGATTTGTATTTCCCTGATGAGGAGGGACGCTGAGCATCGTTTCATGTGTCTATTGGCCATCTGGATGTCCTCTTTGGAGAAGTGTCTGTTCATATCTTCTGCCCATTTCTTCACTGGGTTGTTTGTTTTTCAGGTGTGGATTTTGGTGAGTTCCTTATAGATTTTGGATACGAGCCCTTTGTCTGATATGTCATTTGCAACTATCTTTTCCCATTCCGTTGGTTGCCTATTAGTTTTATGGATTGTTTCCTTTTGCTGTGCAGAAGCTTTTAATCTTGATGAGGTCCCAGTAGTTCATTTTTGCTCTTGATTCCCTTGCTTTTGGGGATGTGTCAAGTAAGAAGTTGCTGCGGTGGAGGTCAAGGAGGTTGTTTCCTGCTTTCTCCTCTAGGGTTTTGATGGTTTCCTGTCTCACATTCAGGTCCTTTATCCATTTTAAGTGTATTTTTGTGTATGGTGTGAGAAAATGGTCTAGTTTCGTTCTTCTGCATGTTGCTGTCCAGTTCTCCCAGCACCATCTGTTAAAGAGGCTGTCTTTTTTCCATTGGATACTCTGTCCTGCTTTGTCAAAGATTAGTTGGCCATACACTTTTGGGTCCAATTGTGAGTTCTCAATTCTATTCCATTGGTCTATGTGTCTGTTTTTGTGCCAATACCATACTGTCTTGATGACAGTTTTGTAGTAGAGGCTAAAGTCTGGGATGGTGATGCCTCCCGTATTGGTTTTCTTCTTCAATATGACTCTGGCTATTTGGGGTCTTTTGTGATTCCATACAAATTTTAGGATAGTTTGTTCTAGTTTTGAGAAGAATGCTGCTGCACAGAGCCTACTTTTAAAAAAGAATGTATAAGGATGATGACAGGGTTCTCAGGATATATAATGAGTACTCCACATTAGTCTTCTGTCATAGTATGTTAGCACTAACTCTTTGAAAAGCAGCTGATAGCCACAAAATTCACAGTAAAATTGTCCATACACTGAAATTTAGTAATCCCGGGGCGCCTGGGTGGCTTAGTCGGTTGGGCGTCCGACTTTCGCTTAGGTCATGATCTTGCGGTTCGTGGGTTCGAGCCCCGCGTCGGGCTCTGTGCTGACTGCCAGCTCAGAGCCTGGAGCCTGTTTCAGTCTGTGACTCCCTCTCTCTCTGACCTTCCCCTGCTCACGCTGTCTCTCTCTCTCTCCTAGAAATAAATAAGACATTAAAAAAAAATTTAAAAAAAAAAAAAGAAATTTAGTAATCCCAACTTTTAGAATCTATCTAAAGAAAACCCATCACAGTATGGGAAAAAAATTATATATATAAATTAAGAATATTTTTATCATAATAGAAGTTGAAAGCATTCTAATGGTTGGATATAAAAATGAATCATGGTATTAAAGGATATAATGCAACCATGTATGAAGTAGTAAAATGTTTTATAATGTAATTCACTTAATAGTGTAATGAAAATGTTAAACATGAAAAAACTGTCAACACTAAAACATTCCAGAAAGCAATAAATATTTATTAGTAAATATTTATTTTGAAGCAATAAATAGCAAAACATTTAGGTGAGCTTTTTTTCCCAAATTATTGCCTTTCTTTATGAATATTTCACAGAAATTTTGTGATATATCTGAGATGATAGCATTTTACTGCTTTTTTTGGTTTTCAACAAAACTTTAGTTCCCATTCCACTTGGAAATGATACATTCTGCATTTAGCACTTCTGTAAACTATGTTTGTAGTCTTGACATCAGCCTGTGAGATTCCTAAGAAGTGAATTGGATAGTAGTCTCTATGATATATGCCCATTGTAGAAATTGCTTGTTCTGTATCTCTGCCATCAATGAAAACAAGAGCAGTAGCTTTTAGAGATACCGAGTCCAGGAAAAATGTATTTTAATGTTAGGCTCTGGTATTGCTTTTACATTTATAGCCCGGATAAGGAGAACTGTCGGTCAGTGAGAAACTAATTTATGGAGAAATTTAATTTTGTATATTTCTGCAACCCTAGTGTAATGGCTTTCATCCATTTTGAGGTCACAGACCCCTTGAGGATCTGATGAAGTCTCCATTAAGAAATATCATATGAGAGCATTTACACAATTTGCATACAAATGCCAGGGAAGGCCCCCAGCCCTGTTCCCACAACCAGCTTCCTAACCCCTAGCATTCCACTAGGTTTAGGATCTCTACTCTAAGAGAAGTGATTATCTTGAGGCACCTGCGTGGCTCTGTCGATTGAGCATCCGACTTCGGCTCAGGTCATGATCTCACAGTTCGTGGGTTCAAGCCCCGCGTCAGGCTCTGTGCTGACAACTAGCTCAGAGCCTGGAGCCTGTTTCAGATTCTGTGTCTCCCTCTCTCTCTGACCCTCCCCCGCTCATGCTGTGTGTGTGTGTGTGTCTCTCTCTCTTAGAAATAAATAAAACATTAAAAAATATTTAAAAACAAATAAATAAATAAATAATAAAAGAAGTGATTATCTCTACAGGTTCGAGAAATGGCTGCTACCACCTTAAGCGGTCTGTTGCAGTGTAACTTCCTTACCATGGACAGTCCTATGCAGATTCATTTTGAGCAACTTTGCAAAACAAAACTACCGAAGAAAAGAAAGCGGGACCCTGGTTTTGTAGGAGATACAATTCCTTCTGCAGGTAACATTGCTGGTAGAAAAATACCCATATCCTTGGTGGGGAATTAACCAGGCTTACTCAACGAATATTTATTGAATACTTGTATGTACCTGGGTCTTTGCTGGATACTGGAAATAGTTGTCCCTGCTTTTTTTTAAATAAAATTTTCTTAATGTTTATTTATTTTTGAGAGGAGAGGGAGCACAAAAGGGGGAGGGGCAGAGAGAGGGGGGGACGCAGAATCTGAAGCAGGCTCCAGCCTCTGAGCTGTCAGCACAGAGCCTGACATGGGGCTCAAATTCCCAAACCACAAGATCATGACCTGAGCCAAAGTCAGATGCTTATTAACTGACTAAGCCACCCAAGCACCCCAAGTTGTCTGTGCTTTAATGAGCTTTGCCTATAGCATGCAAGTCCTGGAATTTAAAAGCAAAAACTGAGAGAAGTGCAAAGGGACCTGAGGATGCCTGGGTGGTTCAGCCAAGTAAGTGGGTAAGCTTCCTACTCTTGATTTTGACTCAGGTTGTGATCGCATCTCATCTGTGAGATCAAGCACCAACTTGGACTTGGTGCTGGTTGTGCAGCCTGCTTAAGGTGAATTCTGTATCTCTCGCGCTGGCTCGCTCTCTCTCTCAAAAATATAATAATAATAAACACAAAGAAAACCTATACACTGCTGCATACAACTATTAAAATAAACCAGGTCTGCCCATCTCCATGAATTAGTTATTTTGGAGAGGCTGAAATATTTTTTTTTTTTTTTTTTTTTTTTACAAATAGTTTATTGTCAAATTAGTTTCTACATAACACTCAGTGCTCATCCCCAAAGTGCCCTCCTCCATGCCCATCCCCCCCTCCCCCCCACATCCATCAGTCCTCAGTTTTTGTCAGCATTCAAGAGTCTCTCATGGTTTGCCTCTCTCCCTTTCCCCCACCATTTCCGCCCTTCTTCTCCCCCTTGTTCCTCCGTCAAGTTCCTCCTAATCCTCCTATACGTGCAAACATATGATATTTGTCCTTCTCTGCCTGACTTATTTCGCTCGAGGCTGAAATATTTTTTAGATTCTGTAGCTTAGGTGTTGATGTACTAAGAAAATACGAAGTAAACAAAACAAGCCTTGCTTTTATTTGGAAAGAGGTCTATTCACTACTTCACTAGGCATTTGGTGGGAGGGCGAGAAGAGTCCTCACAGGAGTTTCTGCTTTAATTGAACATGAAGATAAACATTCTGTTTAAGAATCAGATCTGATTGTCACATTTAAAGAGACATTTAAACGTGATTGTGGGGCACTTGGCTAGCTTGGTCAGTGGAGCACGGGATTCTTGATCTCAGGGTTGTAAGTTCAAGCCCCATGTTGACTACTTAAAAATAAAATCTTAAAAAAAAACCATGATTACAAAGAACTATCTGACACTGCTACTGCTAACTACAGTCACAGGAAGAATAAAAAATAATATAGAAAGATTCTTAATAAGTAGGGGGCTTATTGGATTTACAGAATGTGCTTGGAATGTGAAGCAGCTAAGTGCTGATTATAGGAGTGTCTTAATTATGTCATATAGTTACGTAATGCAATTTCCAATAAAATACTGATGTGTGTTCTAGTGGCTTTGCTTGAGAACTATATATATATTTTTTAATTTATTTATTTTGAGAGAGGGAGAGAGGATGTGAGTAGGAGAGGGGCAGAGAGAGAGAGAATCCCAAGCAGACTCTTCACTGTCCCCACAGAGCCCCATGCCAGGCTTAATCTCATGAGATCATGACCTGAGGGGAAGTCGGATGCTTAACTGACTGAGCCACCCAGGTGCACCTGACAGCTATATATATATATATATTTTTTTTTTTAATGTTTATTTTTTAGAGAGAGTGTGCAAGTAGGGGAGGGGCAGAGAGAAGGGGGGACAGAGATCTCTGAAGCAGGCTCCACGGTGACAGCAGATAGCCCAATGCGGGGCTCAAACTCACTAGCTGAGAGATCATGACCTGAGCCAAAGTCAGACACTTAACCGATTAAGCCACCCAAGCACCCCAAAAACAAGTAGTTGCATTGAGAACTAATTTTATTTCACTGTAACATGTGCAGTAGAGTCCTGTAAATATGTGCACGTATATTGGTGTTTTTCTGCAGAGTTGGTCAAACGTCATGCTGGGGTGCTAGGACTCGGTGCATGTGTTCTCTCTAGTCCTTACGATGTTCCCACCTGGATGCCCCAGCTCCTCATGAACCTGAGTGCACACCTGAATGATCCGCAGCCTATTGAGGTAAAATTCATTCTTGTTGATTTCTTTGCACACATATTACATCAGTGATGTATTTTAAGAAATCATTTATACTAATAATTTTCCATTCACTCTGGACCTTCTGCTTTGATGAAACTGCTACTACTATCTCTGCCAGGGCGAAGCCTCCGCATCAGTAATTATTTAAATCTTGCAGAGGCCTTGCTTTTGTGTATATTTGAGATCTTTGGGTGGCAAGGAAGATACTATAGCTTCTGTCTCTCCCAGTTCAGTGGAAGTAAAATACTGTCAGTGTGGTCAGGATAGTTGATCTTTATACTTTAGTTTAAACATTTTATACCTAGGAAGTATCTAACTGGGAGCTAATATTAAACAGGAAATTGTGATGGTAGTATTTATGCACAACTGTGTTCCTAAATGGCTGAGAAGATCAATGACTTTGTTCTTTTCGCCTAGGTGAATAGATGTAGGTGTGTATTGAATCCGGTTTAATGATGCCGGGTAAGTCCAGGAGCTTGTCCTAAAGTACACCTCGTAGTTTTAAAGAAGTGATGTCAGTGGCTTTGCCAAATTCCATTTGGCTTGTTCGTTTTGCAGCAGTCGGTGAAGAGTGAGATCTAAAAGTCTAGAGGGATCTTTATTTAGCTATCCTAAACACAATCCTAGTTTTCCAGAGGTTAAAATACAATGTGTGTGGGTTGCCTACTCTACAGATGACTGTAAAAAAGACCTTATCCAATTTCCGAAGGACGCACCATGACAACTGGCAAGAACACAAACAGCAATTTACAGATGACCAGCTGCTGGTTCTCACTGATCTCCTCGTGTCACCATGCTATTATGCATAGAAGGGTGAGTCAGCAACATTGAGTTTAAAGAAGTCTGACATCCCCAGGCAGATGTCATTAGTTTGATGATTGGGAAGTAGGTGTTCCTAAGTTTTTTTCTTTTTCTGACGTTCTTAGATATCACTGTTTAGATTTAAAATCTATGTCTTTTGCTATGACCAGTAGGAACTGAGTTTCCAGAAAATTCTTCCTTGCTTCTCTGCTTCAGGTATTAAGCAGAGAATTGATGTGACTGCTCTTGGAACTTTATAAATGAGAAGGCTTAGTTTGCCTCCTGAGTGGGGTTTGGGCACTCTGTGTTGCCTCAAGGACCCTAGGTTCTGTACAATTATGAGAACATTTCATCTGGATTCTTAAGTAATTTTTCCCCCACCCTGAATTAAAGAAAAGATAAGAAGAATAAAGACAATTTCACTTCTTGTTGTCTAACTGAAATTTTTTTCCTCCCTGATACAGATGAGTAGTCCTCACTTCAAGCTCTTTTCATCAAAAATTCCAGATCCTCAGGTACCATCTGTGGCGGCTCTCTGCAGGTTTTTAAGCCCCGCCTCTGTTGAGCTCTCATCGGTTTGGTGGTTTTTGTGTTTGGTCTTATTAGTCTACGTTCCACAGCCTCTCAGCTGCCATTTGATTACCTAACTTGTCTGGAAGTGTCTCCAGAATACTGATCACTTTTTCTTTGAGGCATCTGACAAAGCCACAGAGTCTCCGACTAGAAATAATTACCCAATATGATCATGGCATCCAAGGCCAAACGGAGTCTAGGAAATCATTAAGCAACAGTTCACTTGTAATGGAGAATGCCTGTCTGTAATATAGGTCCTGTCATTTCATTCATCTCAAATTATCTTGAATTTTTTCCAAATGGCTGTTAAGTGGTAGATGGTAGTAAGGCTGTGGGCCGTAAATCGAAGCATGAGAGCTTTGGGTCTGGAGAGCCAAGAAGAGGGAAGGAAAAGAGGGCAAGTCTGGAGCCTAACCAAGGACCTGATGGATCACTCCACCAACACACAGAAGTGAAGTCTGTGTCCACGTGCTTCCCACAGACTGGAGTTTTTGGTGCTGAATAGAAAGAGCAGTTGCTGAAAAACCGGGGGTTTGGTGAATAAATTTTTGATTGATTGTTGTGCGTGTATACAATGTGTGATTTTGAAAATAAACAACAACAACAATAAAAACCCTGACTGATTGATTTTTACCTATATTCTTTGCATATACTGTTTGACCCTCTTTGAAAACTGTTATACTTCACCTAATGGAAAACTGCTGTGTATGTGGAAATTTCGTAATTTTCTTTCTATCTATTTTGGGGTTTTTTTTGTTTTGTTTTTTTTTTTGCCTGCAGAATCGTTGAGAGACTAATGAGTCTTTATATTTAATTGACTTGTTTAATAAATGTTATATAGATGTAAAAGACTGTATAAACTGTAGAGATAGTATTGGCAAGACTTTGTACAGATGCAACCTTTTACACAGCACCAGTGTGTAATTAATTTGTAAAGATTCACATGTAGCTCTTTATTATAGTAATTTTTGGCTTTTGTACCAATTGAATGCCATTTTTTGTGTTTTTAAATTATTTTCTCTATCTTTTCATGTTACAAAAGCTGAGGTGTGGGGGTTTTGTTTGAGTTCACTTAGCGTTAGAATGTCTGGATTTTTATGTAACTTTTGTGTGTGCATCCTTAAATGCAAACACCACATGTTTGCCTGTGACAAATTTATAGAATGCAAGGTATCTTCTAGGTTAAAATAATTCACAAGTTGGTGAATGTCATCTTGGAACACACCCTGTACAGTCTTCCTTAAAGGAACACTACCATATATTTTTTAGTACCTACTTGCTGAATGACCCAGTACAGACCTAAGCACAGCAGAGGTCCTGGTACAGAATTGAATTGTCAGCATACACAGGCCTAATCCCTGTATAGAGTAGTGCCAAGCCAATTATTTCAATTGTGTAACTAGTTTAAAACCCAATAAATGGATTGTTTTTAACATCTGGCTTTTGTCTTCATTAAGAAGAGAAGACAGTTCTCTAGGCAGGGACTCATGAATTCCTTTTCCATCCATAGATCTGGATCTATAAATTCATGCCTCTAACCAAAATGAATGATCTAGATCAGACCTGTCTGTCTAGTACAGTAGCTAGTAGCTACATATGCCTATTTACATATAAATTAAAATTTCATTTCCTCAGGCTCAGCCACTTGTGGCTAGTAGTTTACCTTACTGAATAGCACGGATAAATGTTTTTATCATCACAGGAAGTTCTGTTGGACAGCACTGGTCTGGTCTAGATCACTGATTGTCAAATTCATGTGCCTGAGAATCACATGGGAATTTTGTTAAAATGTGAACTTTAATTCATGCTGCAAGCTCATGAGATTGATACCTGGCAACCTCATACTTTGAGTGGTGAGGCCTTACATTATATTAACCACTTCAGATTTTTCTGAACAAGCTGTATGAAACTTAGCAAGGTTCCTAAAGTAGGAACTTTAGAAAATAAAAGTGCTGGGCACCCGCTGTGGCATCCTGAATCAGAATTTCTCTGGTTAAGACTCAGGTATCAATATCTTTTAAAAGCTCCATAATGTTTCAGTTGTGCATCAGAATTGAAAACCTCTGGTGAAGGTTCGTAAGGTCCTCTGTAGACCTTTAAAAATAGGACTTCTTAATCTGAATGTCCAACATTTGCCCCGTGTCATTATGATACAAGGTATAAGCGTTGCTTATTAACCTTGATCCTCCAATCCAGTTATATTTTCTACCAGTGACGTCAAGAATGAAAGGGATAGAGGAGACAAAAGGGCGATGGCTACTGGGCTTTTTGGGTTTTTTTTTATTTTTTGAGAAACAGAGCACAAGTCAGGGAGGGGTAGAGAGAGAAAGAGACTGAATCCAAAGCAGGCTCCAGGCTCCAGACGGTTAGAGCCCGACCTGGGGCTCAAACCCACAAACTGCAAGATCATGACCTGAAACTGTTGTCTAAGATAATTCCTAAATGTATGTTGCATTAGAAAGAATGAAGAACAGATCAGGAACAGTTTAAGGGAGGTGAAAGCAGACCAAAGTTGAGAAGTCACTGCAGTTTCGGCGTGGAAGAGAATCAAGGTGGGTTTCTAGTTCGAGGAGGGGTTGAGTGGTGAAAAGTGAGGGATAAAGTGAGGTTTTAATGGCTAGTAATCTAGTTTTTTATGGATCCTTTGAAAAAGACTGGGGCGCCTGGGTGGCTCAGTTGAGCGTCCGACTCATGACTTCAGCTCAGGTCGTGATCCCAGGGTCATGGGGTCCAGTGCCATGTTGTGCTTGAACTGACCGTGGAGATACTCTCCCTTCTGCCCCTTGCCCTCGCTTGTGTGCACCCTCTCTTTCTCTCTCTAAAATAGTAACAAAACCAAGACTTTGCAAATTGTGTTTCAAAATTCAAGAAAATTTACCCTAGTCTCTTAGTGTGACCGAATGAAATTTTGAGTGAAAAAAAATAATAGGATGAGAAAGCAGTTTTCAAATACTCCGATACTTGGTATTGACAAGCCTTTTTATTTTTTAAAAATTTATTGGGGCGCCCGGGTGGCGTAGTTGGTTAAGCGTCCGACTTTCGCTCGGGTCATGATCTCGCGGTTCGTGGGTTCGAGCCCCGCGTCGGGCTCTGTGCTGACTGCCAGCTCAGAGCCTGGAGCCTGTTTCAGTCTGTGACTCCCTCTCTCTCTGACCCTCCCCTGCTCACGCTCTCTCTCTCTCTCTCTCTCCTAGAAATAAATAAAACATTTAAAAAAAAAAAAACCATTTAAAAATTTATGTTTATTTTTGAGAGAGAGTTCAAGCAGGGGAGGGGCAGAGAAAGGAGACACAATTTGAACAGGCTTCGGGCTCAGAGCTGTCAGCACAGATCCGATGTGGGCTCAAACCCACGAACTGTGAGATGACCTGACCTGAGCTAAAGTCAAACGCTTAACCCACTGAGCCACTCAGGTACCCCTATTTTATTATTATTATTATTATTATTATTTATTATTATTATTTATACTTAGCCAAGCCCTTTAGATTACAAAGCTGTTTAGTAGTGTGGCCAGAAAGGATTGCTGAGGAATTTGGTTTTACTGAAAAATGAACTTTTTCTACATAGTCTTCATAGTTTTGTGTGCAAAGACCATTGTTTTGTTACTATTTGAGTATTTCCCCGTTGTTGAACATCAGGGTTTTCAGTTTACTACAAATTATATTACAATGAATATTTTCATAACTTCATGCTTAAGACTTTTCAAGTATTTCCTCTGCATAAATTGTAAGGAGTACATTTTGAGGTCAAAAATGTAGATGTAATTGCTCTGATACATTGTTTTCCTCCACCTGCACATGTGTCCATTTGTATTGCCAACAATGGTGTTAGAATGCTGATTTCCCTACAAATTGATAGATACCCCTTCATATTTTAACATAGTCTTGTTTGTTCATTTACAGATTTTTTTTTCCTACTAAGCCTGTGTTCCATTTGGCACTGTTGACTTGTAAATTTTGTAGACATAATTCTAGTAGCTTTAGCCTTGCTGATGGTACTGATTTCCTCTTTAGAATCCTTTATAACTTGGGAATTTTTTTTTTTCAGTATAATTCCTCGCAGAGGTGTAACTGATGGCCGCATTCCAGCCCAAACCTATTAGAATCTCCCTTTCTCTGGCCAGATGCCTAGAAGTCGGCCGGCAATTATTTATTCAGTAGCTAATTCATATGGAGAGACATATAACTTTGGTTAGAATTCTCTAAATACTAATGGGTCTTTTTTGATTGCTTCTTTCTCAGGCCAAAGTTCATCATACTGACATCATAGAACTGCATTGCAGGTGGCTGGGGAGTGGAGTAGAGTATTATGTGGGAATTAATTGGAAATTTCTGTGAAGTTATTTCTAAACAGAATTCTGATAGCATAGTCAACTCTTGGACTGAATGTCTACTTCATAAATTATCCCATTCTCTTGTTTTTCTCTTGATGAAAGCACAGGATACTGGGGAAGATGTTCTCTCCCTAAGTCAAATTCTTTAGTACTTGGTACCAAAGAGTTTTCTGTTTAAAAAGATAAACTGCTAGCCAAAATAGAGACTTAAGTAGCAGTATTCTAAGTTTTTGGCTTGAACCAAGTTTTCTGGGTTTCCGGCACCAGGGTGAAGGAAAGGGCATTCAAGTAGTGTTCTCTATTTCTACATAGTACTCCCTGGGGTGAGAAAAGTAGTGAGTTCCTAATGATCCAGGTTGGGACACAAAGGATAAGGGTTCAACTGGCTTTACTTTGTACCCAGAATACCATACTTCGGAATGCTGCTTATGGCTCTGAGGCTAAAATTGAACCCATTTTATGAGTTCATTATTTTAGACATGTTGTGGACTTAAGAATGGGGGAGGGGGTAGAGAATGCGGGGTGTGTGTGTGTGTTGCCTACTAAAACTAGCTGCATACGTAGCGCCACTGCATTAAATCAGGTCCACGATTTCATGGCGTGGTTATCTCATTTGCAGGAGCGGTCTCTAATTGCGTTTGGTTTTCTAGTGGTTGCTCCCCTTGCTGAGTTCCCTCAGTAAATTCATTAATACTTTTGAGGTAGCTGACAAAAGTGGAAAACTGCGTGGCTCTTTTCCATTAAGTGAAAACTGTTTTGGTTTAGATTCTGTTACAATGACTTCATTTCGCAAACTCCGTCTCCAAGTACCGAAGTGGACGCCGCCGCCGGCCGAATGCAGGAGGCGGCGTGCTCGCTGCAGCGCGGACCGAGCTAGGGTGCCGGCTCGGAAGCACTGGGGCGCGAGGGGAGCCCCGCCAGCCGCCCGGCCCACGCTCCGCACCGGGTCTGGCCGTCGCGGCGCCCAGCCCGCGGGCCCCGCGTCCTCCGCGCGCCAGCTCCCGCCCGCCTCGGAGCGCGGCTCCCCACGCGGGCAGCGGCGCGGCGTGGGGGGCGGCGGGCGGGGCGGCCCCCGGGCACGAGGGGACCCGCGAGGCGGCGAGGGCGCGGGGCGCAGGCGGGCGCCGCGGCCCGAGTGTCCGGCGAAGGGGGCGGCGCCCTCGGCGTCTCCGCGACTGCGCCTCCCGCGCCCCCGGCTCGGCGGCTCCCGGGACGCGCGGAGGCGGCGGCGGCGGCGGCGGCGATGGCGATGATGCCTGTAGCCCTGCCTGGTCCCGGGCGGCGGGCGGAGCCGGGGTCCGGGCTGCGAGATGGAGGAGGAGGGGGGCGGCGCTGCGGCCGCCGGGCAGGTGAGAGGCCGCGGGCCCCGGAGGAGGACGACGCGCGGGGGCCGGGAGGGCCGGGGCCCGGGCGGACGGCGGGTTGGCGAGGCGCGCGGCTGCGCTGGTCCGGGCCCGGCCGCCGCGCACCTGCCCTCCCGACGCGGCCTGCGGGGGAAGCCATCTCGCCCCTGCCTAGCGTGCTCCCGGGCCCCGCCAGGCCGCGGGGTCCTTGCCCCGTCGCCCATTCCCTGCCAGAGCCTTCCGCGCCCCACCAGCCCTCTTACAAGCTTGCTGGCCCGAACTAGGCCTCCCTTACCACAACCTTCCTCTGCCAGGGGAGCGCCTGCCCATCGCAGTGCCTAGCTGGGGCCCACCTCCCCTCCCCGCAGCCTCCCTGCGCATCCCCAGACTGGGGGCTCTCCATCGCCTCCCCGTCTCCCGCATGCACTGGCCCTACCCCATCCCGTCGGCCGCCCCGGGCTTCCAGAGGTGGTTCAGCTGGGGAGAAAGAGCACGGCCTCCGAAATCAGATGCCCTTGGGCAAGTCGTCTAACTTCCCTTAGGATTTCCTGATCAATACAAATCTGGCAGGATCTTGCTGTGAGGATTAGACCATGAAAATGCTGTCCTCGAAGAATTTAAGGCGTTATGAGACATCTATATGAAGTTTATAGGAGGAAAAAAATGAATTGGAAGAATCCAGGCCAGGAGCTCACCTGTAAAAGTTCATACAAAATGTTTTCATATGTGTTAAAATATTAGCACACTAGATTATCAGAGGCTCTTCACACATTTTAGTGAGAAAGCATTGCTACGGCACAAAAATTTTCATTTAACTAGTCCTTGCTTGCTACTTTAGGATACCCTCCTCGTAGTTGTAACAAGATGCACATGGATGTGAATTCATTCTCTTATTGTGACTAATATGCTTGTGTAAGACTGGTGTGTTACTAACTTACAATTTTTCTGATTTTATGACTTTAATCACCTCCGCATGGCCTGAGAAATAAAGAAGGGCTAGTATGCTTGCATTGAAAAGAATATCGGTAATCTTTATTTAATATTTGGGAGTAGCAAATAGGTATTCATTTACCCCCCTCGCCAAGTCACTGAGTTTTACAGTGCTACCATCATACCTTCATTCCAAATTGTGATTCCAGCCTCCTCTTTCTTAAAAGTCCCAGAAGTGGGCTTACTTGTCCTCATTTCCTTTATCGCTCCTAAAGCTTCCCTGCCAAAACCTTTTATTTCTGTTCTGTATTCTGCTTTTCCTTTTCTTCCCAGCCTCACCTTCCTTGCTTTTCTTTTTAATTATGCCAATGGGAATGATTTATAATTACTTTATACCAAAACTTTAATTATCAACATTGCCAAAAAGTTACACAGAATTGTGTGTATGTGTGTGTGTTCCTATTTTGGGTTCCAGGAACTTTGAGTCTGGAAGGGATTGTGATACCTACTTCATAGGTCTACACTGAGAGTGAAACAAAGTGGGATCGCTTATATAAGGCTCCTGGTATGTATGCCAATAGCCCAAGAAATGGTAGCTGCTATGATTGTGTTCTGACCTGCCAACCTCCCTGATCTCTTTGTTGTTACGTTGAGCGTTGGAGCATGGTGGTGACGAATGTCAGGTGGAGAGAGTACTTGCTTAGGTTCAAATCCACGCCCTGCCACTTTAAGGTGGGCACGCTGTCTCCAACTCAAGCTTCCTTATCTGCAAAACGGGTTATACTGTCTGTTACTATATGTTATATGTTATATTGTCTCAGGGTTGCTGTGAGGATTCAAGAAATTAATTACATGGAGCCTTGAAAACAGTGTCTGGCACATAAGCACTTGACAATGTTAACATACTAATAATGACACTGACCTAGAATTCTCTTTTCAAAAAAAAAACTACTGAAAAATGTTAAATTGATTGGAAAAATTGTAACTGTGCACCAAGTGGAAGTTGGTCCTCAACTCCCCCAAATCGTTTCTTTTTTTCCCTTCTGCCTCTTATCTTTGACTAATATTGATTGGTCTCTCATCATCCCATTTTCCCCTTGACAGTTCCCTTTCCAGCTTTCTTCTAGCCTGGGATCTTCATAATTTCCATCACACCTCTTCTTCATTCTTAGCCACTCACTAAGTATTTCTCTGAACATCAGTTCCAAATGCTTTCATTCCAAAGTCCGTCTTTCTTCTTCACTCCTGTTGGCTTCCCTACCTCCAAAGAGGAAACCCTCCTGGGAATCTCTCTGCCTTCTTGCTTCCTCAAAATTGCAGTTTTCTGCTTCTCTTTTCATCAGCTGACTCCAGTCCTCCAATGAACAATGCAAAAACGAGCAGCAAAATGTTGTCTTTTTCTTCCCTCATAGCTATCAAAAAGGATTCAGAAACAGGCACACAGTCTGTAAGTGAAAACAGTAAAGCCATCCATTATTATGTTTTAATTCTAATCATCACAAAACAAGTGGTCAGAATTTATATTTTTCTGTCATGGAACTCTTATAAGGAAAGTGTAGGAAAGCTGGTCTCCCTTGCCAGTGGAGAAATTCATCATATTGTCACGGTCTGTACTATTTGCCCATTGAGTATAAAAAAGAAGCCATCTTCTTCCTTCCTGAGGACATTTGTTAGGACCTCCTCAGGACTCAAATTTGTCTGATACTGGCACAGCCATACCTGCTGCCGAATGCCGAGAGAGTTCTGTATCGGATGGTTCATAGCTGCTGCTTGGAGCCCCTAGTAATCTTTGATGGACCTGTGCCCCATCATCCAGGAACCAAAGGGTTAATCCCAGGCTTAGCTGGAGGCCTCTGGAACCCATTGGAGCCTGTGGCTAAATATCTGGAACGTTACCCCAGGACCTCCCCAGTGCCATTGCTTGTTCCTAAAATGCTGGATTAAAGGAAATACCTTTGAGTTGTCAAGGGCATTGCACCAGTCTCCAGGGAACAACTTCAGCTGCCCCGCTGGAAGCATCTTTAAGAGCAGAGTGGGCAGCGGGCCACACAGGGCTTTGAAATTTGGTACAACAGGAGATTTCTGTGAGTGTATTTTAAATCTCATTGGAAAACAAACAAAGCCAAAAACGTCGAAGAAGACAAAGAGCAAGAAGAAAAAGAAGTTGTTCTTATAAAGCAGAGGCTGGGCTTTACTCATCTTTCTACCCACCGCACCTAGCATAAAGCTGGCATACAGTCTGTACATGATAAATGTAAACTGAGTGAGTGGAGGCATGACAGGGCGTGTGAGGATATTGCTGTTGGAATAATAACTCACCTCTGTACAGCAGGTTAGAGTTTACAAAAGGGTGTTTTGTGCCTTGTAAATCTCAAATACAATGGACACCCTTCCACGCTTTCATTTTCCCCTCACAAATGTAGTCCCACACAAAGTTTTTTCCAATGGAAGGGAGGGAGTTGGCCAACAAATTGCCAGCAGGGAGAAAAAATTATAAACAATGAAAAATAAAGGGTTGTTACTAGAGAAAGAAATAGCATTTGTTGGTGACTTAGGAGAGTTCTATAAGGAGCCGCAGTGTACTTCAGCAGTACCGTCTGGGTCCATCCCTGCCCTGCCCCTGACCCCCAGCCAGCTCCTCACCACCAGCCCCTGCAGCTGCTCTCAGCCTCCACCCCTGTTGGATTAGCTTCCCCTTCTCTGACTTCCACAGCACCCTCCTGTCATCTGATTGACCACATTAGGCTGTAAGTACATTGTTAGGTTCGTCTCCTCCCAGTAGATTGAGTAGCTGTGATCTCTTTGCTGGAGAGGTTATGTCCTTGGGTGTCCCGTGTCTGGCACCAGGGTGTTTCTAAAAGTAACATTTGCATACCCTTCAGTCAGAGAGTCAAGAGGTGGGGCCCAGGAATCTGCTTTTTTTTTTTTTTTTAAGTCTACAGGTGATACTTAAACTATTTAAAAAACCACTGTGCCATGAAACCTGAAATTAGTCCGAGGGATATATTTTGAGGTGTTTGTGTCTTTTCTGCGTTGGGCTTTGTGCGGAGAAATGCTTTGTATGCAGCAGGTCAGAGCTGAAGCAAATTCTAGTGCTCTTGTCAAAAATCATGCGATCGCTCTTCTCTCTCCATTAACTTCTTTCTGTTTCTGGGTGTGCATTTTTCTGTGCAGGCTTTTCTGCTCTGGGCCTCTTTTGCCCCATGCCGCTCACCTGTGAGTTGAGGCCCTAACTCCCTTCCCGCAGAAGGAACAGTCCCTTCTCTCTGAAGATGAACTCCACAGACCACCTTCAGGACGCTCCCAACACCACCGTGCTCCACGTGCGTCACTCCCACGGGGGGAACAGCACCGCACTGCAGGGGGGCCTCCAGGACCTCATCCACACCGCCACCTTGGTAACCTGCACTTTTCTACTCGCAGTCATCTTCTGCCTGGGCTCTTACGGCAACTTCATTGTCTTCTTGTCCTTCTTTGACCCAGCCTTCAGGAAATTCAGAACCAACTTCGATTTCATGATCCTGAACCTGTCCTTCTGTGACCTCTTCATCTGCGGAGTGACAGCCCCCATGTTCACCTTCGTGTTGTTCTTCAGCTCAGCCAGTAGCATCCCAGATGCATTCTGCTTCACCTTCCACCTCACCAGTTCGGGCTTCATCATCATGTCCCTCAAGACAGTGGCGGTGATTGCCCTGCACCGGCTCCGCATGGTGTTGGGGAAGCAGCCCAATCGCACGGCTTCCTTTCCCTGCACTGTGCTCCTCACCCTGCTTCTCTGGGCCACCAGCTTCACTCTTGCCACCTTGGGCACCCTGAAAACCAGCAAGTCCCACCTCTGCCTTCCCATGTCCAGTCTGATGGCCGGAGAAGGGAAAGCCATTTTGTCTCTGTATGTGGTCGACTTCGCCTGTTGTGTCGCTGTGGTATCTGTCTCTTACATCATGATCGCTCAGACGCTGCGGAAAAATGCCCAAGTCAGAAAGTGCCCCCCTGTGATCACTGTGGACGCTTCTAGACCACAGCCTTTCATGGGGGCCCCCGGAAAGGGGGGTGGGGATCCCATCCAGTGCACCATGCCGGCTCTCTACAGGAACCAGAGTTACAACAAACTGCAGCACGTTCAGACCCACGGATACACCAAGAGTCTTACCCAGATGCCAGCCCCGGCGGGCAGCCGGCTCCAGCTGGTGTCCGCTGTCAATCTCTCCACGGCTAAGGATTCCAAAGCGGTGGTCACCTGTGTGATTATCGTGCTGTCGGTGCTGGTGTGCTGTCTTCCCCTGGGGATTTCCTTGGTGCAGGGCGTCCTTTCCAGCAACGGGAGCTTCATCCTTTACCAGTTCGAACTCTTTGGATTTACCCTTATATTTTTCAAGTCGGGTTTAAACCCTTTTATATATTCTCGGAACAGCTCAGGGCTGAGGAGGAAAGTGCTCTGGTGCCTCCAGTACATGGGCCTGGCTTTTTTCTGCTGCAAACAGAAGACGCGACTTCGAGCCATGGGAAAAGGGAACCTGGAAATCAACAGAAACAAATCCTCCCATCATGAAACCAACTCTGCCTACATGTTGTCTCCAAAGCCCCAGAAGAAATTCGTGGACCAGGCTTGTGGCCCAAGTCATTCGAAGGAAAGTGTGGTCAGTCCCAAGATCTCTGCTGGACACCAGCACTACGGTCAGAGCAGCTCCACCCCCATCAACACCCGGATTGAACCCTACTACAGCATTTACAACAGCAGCCCCTCCCAGGAGGAGAGCAGCCCGTGCAACGTTCAGCCAGTAAACTCTTTTGGATTTGCCAGTTCATACATTGCCATGCACTATCACACCACTAACGATTTAATGCAAGAATATGACAGCACGTCGGCCAGGCAGATTCCAGTGCCCTCTGTGTAGGCTCGTGGAGGCTGGACACTCTTGTGGAAGGAAACTGTTTTTGTTTCTGATACTAATGGATTTCTTTTTTTCCCACTTCTGTGAGACCCACGGTAGATGGAAACTTCAAGATTCCGTGGAACAGTTGGCAGTTCTGATTTTCTCCTGACTGAAGCTTCAGCATCTATTGATTTGCTTTGTGCTTTCTTGAAGTTTTAAGATTTGATGTGAAAATTGATTATTTAGATTTTTACCCTGACCTGCGCTCCGATCTTTTGTACTAAACTTTCAAATAGATGCCAGGAATGATCAACGCCAGTGACTTGAAGGAGAGTGGACTGATTACGATCATTTGAGTCAGTGTTCAGGGTCTTCGAAGTATGCCTGAGTTGAATTTTTTTAAACAATGTGAAGGTATGATCTTCACTGAGGCGAATTTTTTATTAACTGAACTATACATTTTGATTCTGTAAAGTGTTGCAAAGGGGAGCAATACACTTTTTTGGTAGCAGGCTTATTTGAATAAATAATAGATTGTCAAAGCAGAAAATCAGAAATAGATTGTCTATAATGACCTTTACCCAAGGCACACAGGCATTAAGTACGTTCCTTTCATAAGACAGTCAACCAAGAATACAGTATTATGATTATTACCATTTCTTATTAAAGACATTATTATTTTGTGCGAGTTCACTAGCTATATAGCTTTTTAAAAAGAAATTGGTTTTTGCTTGCTGAAAATGACTTATTCTCTTTCGGCATGATCTTACCCAAGAGCCCTTGGTGAAGAGGATGGGACCTGTAGTGGAGGAATGCAACTTCTGGGTGCATGGGCATTAACGGTGGTCACCTCAGTCAGGGTGTGTGTGGTGAGGTGTGAAGCAATCCGGACTGCCCTTGCGTGTTAAGACGATCATTATCATTGCTTACAAAGCTCTGAGAACGACGTTGAGAGTATTTCAATTGATGTGTTCCTTCTGTGTGAGGGTGGTTTGTTAACAACCTAACAAAGAGTATCCAAGTAACTGTTCAGACCTCATTGTTTTGTCTTTGTTTATATATCACTCTGGTAGAAAAATTCTTAAGACGATCTGTTTTCAAACTGTGTTATTTCTCTCCCATTAATCTTGGACATGGACAGTAAAGGAAAGCTAGATGAAGTATTTCTCTACCTAAAACTAATTTTATTATAAATCATATAAATTATAAATTTACTAATTTTATTACCCTGTCGTTCATAGCATAACAACTGTTCCTATTTTTTGTGTAAAAACATTTTCATTATAGAGTTAGCATTTGAACTCGCTGCAGTTTTGGAACTACAGCTGCCAAACTCCAGGCGAACATCAAGGTCCAAAACCTAACTTTAGAAAATTGTTTTACTCAAGAACTGTTATTGCATGGGGCGTCTGGGTGGCTTAGTCGGTTGAGCGCCCAACTTTCGCTTAGGTCATGATCTCGCGGTTCATGGGTTCGAGCCCCGCGTCGGGCTCTGTGCTGACTACCAGCTCAGAGCCTGGAGCCTATTTCGGAATCTGTGTCTCCCTCTCTCTCTGACCCTCCCCTGCTCACGCTGTCTCTCTCTCTCCTAGAAATAAATAAAAATATTAAAAAAAAAAACTGTTATTGCAGATTGGAAGGAACTTTGTTGTTTTGGATGAAAGGTATTCAATTTATAGCTCCCTCTCCAGGCCTTTCCCAAATGTAAGAAGTCCTGGGGGGATGTGGGGGGTGGGGGAGACACAGAATAGATGCTCAGCTGGACCTCTGTGCTGACACCTCTCGCCTTCCAGCACGCACCAGCCATTCTATTTCTGAAATCTGATTATGAGATATGGGTCTTATTTTGTTTTTAAATTTACCTTTTAGGACTTTGTCCTTCCCTCCCTTCTCTCTCTTTCTTCCTTTATTTTTGCTCTTAAATTTTATAACAGAAGAGAAGATACCTACTCTGTCACATTTTTTCTTGTTTGTAATTGAATGCTATTTTTGGAAATCACTATAACCTATTTTAATTGTGTTTTTATATTTTTAATACAACACTGTTTTCATTTATTAATACTCCCATAAGATTAGGTAATATACTAACCACATAGTGTATTACCTCTTTTTAACAAAGCACCAAGAAATCTAATATCCTTTCCCAAAATCATTTGAAGAATTCTGGAAAATTAGGAATCAGACCTTTGTCTTAATTTAGAACTGGGTATTTATTCCAATAAGCCAAACAACTTAATAATTAACAACATTAATCCAGAAGATACTTCTTCTTGATTAATACTTTTTAAGGTATGTATCTCTTTTTTGGCTAAACATTTCCAGTGTGATTCGATAGAAGATTTTTTAAAAGTAATTTCTACTTGTAAATTTTAAAATGACAGGTTTTCTTGTGCGACCTTTGAGTTTGAGATGACTCGACCCATCTTTGGGAGGTAAAAGTTATAATATAAAGAAAAATGAGCATGTGCATATGAGGTATTCAGTCTCTTTATGCTCATCCAGAAATTATTGATTTAACTTGCATGAAATACATGTTGGGCTAGATTCTTAGCCCTCCTCCACATCTATCTCTATATCTATGTGGAGATACACAGATAGATACAACTTATCTCTTTATAAGTTATATATGCCTATATTTACATAAATAGGCATATATAACTTCTCTATAAGGGCTAAACTGAGAACTAAAAATAATGATAATTCGGTTGAATATGACTAATTATTAGCAGGGTATATTAATTAGTTCTCTTGATGCTTTACTGTGATGCAAAGTATGTGATGTATTTCAAACATTTTATAACTGTTCTGATGTTAACCTTTAGGCCAGGTTTGTATTTCTGATGCTTTTAATGTTCTTTTAAAAAACTAATGTTTGGAAAATAAAAATATTGAAAAACCTAACATTTCTGAACATCGCATTGCAGTACTATGACTTTCCTGTCCAATGATTTGAAAACCATCAAAGAAAAGTAGTGATGGTTATTGCACAGTAGATGACAATGTGTTAGCCCTCAGCCTTCTCTTCCTTATGAGATGAAAAACTTGTGGGTTTTTTTGGTTTTTTGCTTTTATTTATTTATTTTTTTTTTAAGTTAGCCCTATGCGCCCCATGTGATTAAGAGTCAAGATCAAGAGTCGCATGCTTCACTGACTGAGTTAGCCAGGCACCGTAGAGTCCTCAGGATCTCTTTACTGGTTCCAGATAGTTCTCTGGCTCATGATTGGTGCCACCTCTGTCAGGCAATGTTAACAATCTCTTCAAAAGTGGTATTTCCACTGTGCTTAATGTTTTCTGCCTCTTTCTGTCTCTTAGCGGTTCCTTGAGGGCTTTGATAATCAGGTCAGAAGCAGAAGGTACCACTTCAATCTGGGCCTGTCTGGTTTTGTTCCTTTGTTTGTTACGGGCAGATCACAACTTCCAGGCATCCCTCAAGTAGGTGGGTCACCTTAGGTTCGACTTTTACCTGCTCAAAAACTTGTCTCCTCTCACATTAGCAGTGAGGATTCAGGTATTATCCCGAATTGTTATTTTTCTTACTCATAAGTTTAAGGCATGGGGCCTATCTGTTCTGAATGGTCAGTTTCACTGTAATCTTCAGGCCCTTCCAATCCCTGGTTCCCTTGATGATGTCATCACCAACCATTTTTGGAGATAGACTCAGGGGACCTATCTTTGGGTCCAGGGCAGAGGTGTCACCAACTTCCCCACCGGGTATATGACTTTGGTCTTGTTAGGGTCGAACCTAGGTGGCCTGGTGGAGGTGGCTGGTGTCAGGTGAACCTAGTTTCAGGATGACCTAAGACAGCTGCACCTTTGCCTCCTTCCAGCTGAAAGCCAAAAACAAAAATGCGTATCTTAGAATTGGTGATATACATGGTGTGCATAAGCTAGAGGAAAACACACGATTATGGTCCCTTGAGAAACAATTTAAGGATCCTTCTTTGAAACTAATATTTTGAGTAGTTTCTTGGTTAGCAACTCTACAGCCAGGAGCAAAGCTCTCACAAGATTCCAGGTGACAATTCTTTTCTGAAGTGGGAAGGCAGCAGAAACCGAAGGGCGGTGACAAAGAAAAAGTAGCATGAAGTCCTGCAGAGTTAAGGCCCAGAACCCTTCTTAAACAGCTCGGTTTTGGGGTCCTAAAAATGAGTATCTGCAAATATGTTTCCAATTTCATTTTCTTTTTTTTTTTAAGTTTTATTTCTTTTATTTAGAGAAAGAGAGGTTGAGTGTGAGCAGGGGAGGGGCAGAGAGGGAGAGAGAGAGAATCCCAAGAGAATCCATGCTGACAGCGAGCAGCTCCATGGGGGGCTTGAACTCACAAACCGTGAAATCATGACCTGACCCAAAATCCAGAGTCAGTCACTCATCCAAGTGAGCCACCCAGGTGCCCCTCCATTTTATTTTCAAGTTAGTCACACCTCAGTTCAAAGATCATTGCTCGAGGTCACGAGTAGCACCTCTTGGGTGCTGGCAGTCTTGGGTTCCTCTCCAGATCTGACTTGCTATTATAACTCATTCTTAAATAATAGTCCATAGTCTGGCCGGGCCAGGTCACGGAGTCTCCCCTTTCAAGGCCACTCTCTTCATTCAGAGTTCAGGGGCAGCATATACACAGTGGGGTTTTTGACTCCCAGGGAGACATGCCTTGACTCCCGTATCCACTAAAAGGAATCGTTTGTTGTTTTTTTTCCATTAACGAAAAAAGCCTCTGAAGAAACTTGCTCCACTGACCTCCTCCTGGAATTGAAGGAAGAATCAGTGAAGATTCCAGGCCTATGGAATGGTAAGAAGAGAGGCAGGCAGTCTGCCAGGAAAAGGCTCACCTCCGTCAGAGATCCGGACTTTGGAGAGGCCAGGCCGGGACTGAGCTTAGACCACAAAGCTGCAAGCTCCAGCAGGACCTGGCGGACAGGACTCTATGCGGCAGGTGAGTGCCGGACAAGCTGCATTGAGCTCAGTCCAGCCAGACTGGCCCACATGTGATGAGACGCAGGAGAGCCCAAGTCACCTGTAGGAACGAAGATGATGGCCACTGAAGCCAGATGGGGTAATCTTTGAGAAGATGGAGGAGGGAACGGAGGAGCAGAAAGGTAAGAAAAAGCCCCCTGTTTCCTCCCCTGCCTCTAAAGATGGCTCTGTAAACTGAGAGGCAGGTGCTGGCATAATTATGATGATTTTCCATCTTCGGGCTTTCAATATCATTTAAATGCTAATGACACTCAATTTTATATCTCTGGTTCTAACCTCTCCCTGAACCGCATGCTGGTCTATCCAATAGCCTATTCAACATCTCCACGTGGATGTCTAATAGGCATCTCAGATTTTAACATGTGCAAAACTGAACTCGTGATTCACGCCCCCTCCTCACCAAACCTGTGACTCCTGCTGTTTTATTATCTCAGTAAACAGCATGACATTTCCCCAGTCACACAGCTCCATTTGTTGTCCTTGACTCTTTGTCTCACATCACATCCAATTCATCAACAAATCCTGAATTATCTTGACAATAAACTCCGATTCCAACTACTTCTTACTTCTTCATTCCCGTCCCCTCTAGCCCATGTCCCCATCATTATTCACTTAGGGTATTAAACCAGTCTTAGGACCATTTCCCAGCTTTGAGGCTCTATTCTACAGCCTTTCTTTGGGACTAGGACACTTCTTAGAGAAGCCATATTTGCCACTCTCCTGATTAAAACCTTCTGGTGGCTTTCCAGCCCACCTAGAAGTCCTTGCTGTGACCTACATTGCCCCGATGATCTGGCCTTTGGTTTTCTCTCTGTCACCATTTCCTTTCATTTATACCCTGCCTAATGCTTGGGCTACAACAGGCTTTCTGGCTCTTTCTCACATGCCTCAGTTTTGTTCCCCCATTAATCCCCCCAGAAACTCCCCAGCCTGGAATAGTCTTCCCCTGGGGCCTTTCCTAGTTGCCATATTCAATACAGTTCTCTCTCCATCACGGTCTGTCCCTATGCCCTATCTTATTTTTTTCATGGTTCTTATCATTATGTGTATCCATCTGCTTGGGCTGCCATAACAAAATACCACTGCCCAAGTGCCTTAAATAACGGAAATTTATTTTCTCACAGTTCTGGATGGAGGCTAGAAGTCCAAACTAACAGCATTAGTTCCTGAGAGGCCTCTTTTCCTGGTTTCTCACTGTGTTCTCACATGACCTCTTCTCTGTGCACACATGGGAAAGAAGGGGGTGGGAGAGGGGAGAGGGAGAGAGTTGGGGGGGGTTGCTCTCAGGGTGTCTCCTCCTCTTGTTGTGTGGGCACCATTCCTATTAGATTGAGGGCTCCACCCTTATGACCTCATTTTACCTTAATTACTTCCTTAAAAGCCTTATCACCAATTAGAGCCACAATGAAGGTTAGAGCTTCAAACGTGAATTTGGGGGCACAATTCAGTCCATAACAGTTATGTATAATTGTTTACTGGCTGCTTCCCCTCTAGAATAAAGCTCTGAGGGGGGCGCCTTGGTGGCTCAGTCGGTTAAGCCCCCGACTTCGGCTCAGCTCATCATCTCGCTGTTTGTGAGTCTGAGTCCCGCGTCGGGCCCTGTGCTGACAGCTCAGAGCCTGGAGCCTGCTTCGGATTCTGTGTCTCCCTCCTCTGCTTCTCCACTGCTCATGCTGTGTCTCTCTCTCCCTCAAAAATAATAAACATTAAAAAAACCTTTTTTTAAATAGAATAAAGCTCTGATAGGGCGGAAGTTTTGTCTGTTTCGTTCAGTACTGCATCCCTAGTACCTATCAGTCCTTGGCCCTGATGAGCTCTCATTGCATCACTGCTGAATGAATGGATCAAATAATAAATGATTGAAAAACTGCAGCCTGGAAGTGATATCAACCCAAATCTCTCTCTGGCTGGCTTAGTTTCCCCATGTTTGTTGTTGTTGTTGTTTGTATCCCTCTCTACATTCCCAGGATGATTATCAGCAGGACTCTAGTGAAAGGGGGGACACGGGTCTTGATTTAGGACTGCAAGGCCTTATTTTTGACTGTTTACTCAGGCAGCCAGCTCGAAGGGCATCCCAGGGGACCACCCTGGCTGCCCTTGAGCTGCCAGACAACCTGCCTTCATTCTCATGGGAATTCTTGGGCCCATTATGCAGCCTGAGGACACTGAAAATGAAAGGAAACTCTTCAGCAACCAAAGAGAAGTTAAAGGAGAAAAGGAGTCACTCCTTCTTGGAGGGATAGAAGGGAGAATACAAATCGCTTTAAAGTATAGGACATTTTGAAAAAGAGCTGCAGATTTAGTGAAATTCTGCTTTCCACAAGAGATAGTTAACAGACACTGTCTCTCAGTCCAATGCCTTCGAGACTAATTTTACCAAAGTATCAAATATCACTTCATTGCTTACGGACAAATTAGTGAATCTTCCCTCCTCTGCTCCAATAAACAGATAATTCGGCTTCTCTATAAATAACTCAGCTGGTACCAAGATAAGTTCAGCATGTTTCTCTGAGTGCCATTTATGTAAATGTTGGCCCTCTTGACACTTTCTGGAACCTCCACCTGCTGACAGAATGCTGACGAGTAGGAGATGGAGATCTTTCTTCTGACTCCCAGTGTGGGAATCTTGATTTTCATGCAAAGCCCGAGGTTTTGCAAAGTACAGCTTGTTCAGATGCCAGGGAGACCTTAGGAAGTGGAGCAACTTACAAAGGGCGCTTTATGCCCATCTTCTGGGGCTGAGGCATTAGGATGAGTTTCGTAACCTGGGGAAATGCTGAACGGTCAACACATTTCCTGCCTGCCATAGCAAGAGCTTATGCAAGCTTCTTGCTCATTTGTTTGGCTTTAGCAACCAATATAAGAAACGGTAGGACTTGACTTCATTAATATTACACTGAGGAAAAAAACGGCTGACTGTGTTCTTCACAGAGAATCATGTTAGACACTTTCTTTGAGGAATTCAGAGTACCTCAGAACCGGAATATTTTCCGGCCATGGAGTTGGAGGGGGAAAATTCAATTCTTTTCTTGACCTGAGAGAGATCAGGGGCTCAATCACTGCCCCCAAATGGGGGAAACAGAAGAGAGATACAGACATTGTCTTCTTGTGAGGGAGAAGAAAAAAAATAATCAGCTAAAGTTTATGGTGCAGAATTTGAGTGAAAAAGAATTACAAATGGGACAAGTCATTAATTCTCCCTTTTCTGTCCCATCCATTATAAAGTTGAGGAAAATACTGCTGTCCTCAGAGCACCAAACACTCAAAAATAACATGTAGCAAACTCAGGACTGTAGCTGCAGAAATTGTCATAAGGTGTGGATAAGAGAGGATGAGGGTTTATTCATTCATTCAGCGAATACGGAGTGTCAGTGTTAGGCAAGGTCTGAAGAGAAAGTTCTGAGAAAATATAAGATAAATTCTTTACCAATAAATAAAAGATGAAGGAATTATTTTTTTAGCATTAACATAAAAATACAATCTGGTTCTAGATAAATTGCCAGAGCAGTTGTATTGTTTTCCAACACCAAATGCTTATCAGGGAAGGGAGGGTTTGATGACATTTAACCAAGCCAAAATTCCCAAGGTGATGCTTTAAACTTGCTAGTGAATTTTCATTTGCCACATTGTGGGTTCCATTAGCTTAAGAGAAGTTAGTGGTGTCCCATGATAAAAATATACTGTATGGGGGGAAAATGAGTATTACAAGTTTCCAAGACAAAAATCAATCATTTCACTCCGCATTTTGTTAGGTCCTTTCATGTGTTCCTTCAGGTGGGAGGTGATGGCACAGAGTGGTTCATGGGGCAAAAGATTGTTCTGCGAATAGCAAGTGCTATAGATTATTATTTCCAAGCAGAGACTCTACAATCTGAATTGATTCCGAAGCTGGCTCAGCCTCACTTCCCTTATCTGTGAGCTAAAGATAGTAAACCTAACCTTATGGGGTTGTGATCACAAGGTATCTGAACTGTTTAGCATAGTGCCTAAGTATTTAATCAATGTGCAGCAATGGCAGCTATCATTTTTATTATTATAAAAAACAGAGTCTGGGGTAGCCTCTCATTTGAGATTCAAGGAATAATGACTCAAGGTTGTACACAGCTGGCTTTGTGGGGGTGTGAAACAATTTCTTGGAAGTGGTTGATGAAAACCTTTCCCAACAAATGATTTCTGTCACAATGGGTTAAGAACACTAAAAACTATAAATATGTAAAGTGAATTCAGAAGAAAAACGACTCCCGATTTCCTTGACCATTAACATTTCTAATCTTTGGATAATACTTAGAGCTCTGATAGAATTCTTAAATGAATGAATTAGATTTTACTGCTGTTAAGGACCACTGGTGACTAATTTGTATAGTATTTTATTAAAGACACAGAAGCTATTAAAAGAAAGTTCACTGTTTTTGGCTATATTTTGAGTGAATTTAGAGAGTAGGGTAGACTTGACTAATTGGGTTTTAACTCCTAAGTTACTGGACTTTTGAGGAAGTTTGAAAAAAATGTATTTTTTTTGGTGGTAGAGCACTTTTGTTTTTTTATTGAAATATACTTGACACTGAATGTGACATTGGTTTCAGGTGTACAGTATAATGATTTGATGACTCTATACATTATGCCATGCTCACAAGTCTAGCTATGATCTGTCACCACACAACACCATTCCACCATTGACTATATTTCCTGTGCTGTTCCTTTCATCCTGGTGACTTATTCTATAGCTGGCCTCCTGTACCTCAGTTCCCTGAGAGCTTGACTTTTAGTATTATATATTTACAACATCAAAAATAAGTTTGTGCCTCAGGAAAAAAAATTTTTCTGTATTTTTCTCGTGAACCGAAGGCAAAGTATAATGTAGCCTATTGCAAAGTACTGGAAAGCAATTTAATAGAGTTGAAATATATAATGTACGTGATTAGACATGAGATGTTTAGCTTATTTTAGTTTCATAAATGTCTTCCATAGTTGAGATGGTTACCATTTCCGTAAGTTCTGCCAGATGTACTTGCTTTTGGTGAAAACTTTTTGTTTCACATGTAAAAAATACTAAAATGCCTAAAAGTTTACAAATAGGTATGGACACAAAACATTGTAAACCCTATATTCCATTTGTTAATAATTTTGCCTTTCTTCTTTTTACTTCGGAAGTTTTAAGATTGTCAGGGGGGGCTTTTATTTTCTCTAAGTGTAAAAGAGTGAAATTCCAATAGTCTTCATACTGTAGTTTCTTCTCATTGCCAGTGAGGAAAACATGCTCATTCTTCGTGATCACTGCAAAAAGTATTTTCTGAGAAACTGTGTTATTTCTAATAGAGAAGACTTGTGAGCTACCAGGACCACAGTGATTGGAGCTATGGCAGGTGAAAGTCACCTGTTAACCTCTCACCTTAATTCTCATTAGTTATATACCTAATAATGTGTGCTCATCTTCTTTTTTAAGTAGGCTCCATGCCCAGTGTGGGGCTTGAACTCACTCTTCCTTCTCCTTCTTCTCTTTTTTTTTTAAATGCGTGGTCTTGATGCTACTATTTAAAGTGACAGTCCATTTTCTGAAAGATGATGGAAGGAGTTAGTAATCTACAAAGTTATATATAGTATAATGATGGTATCTCCATCATCTCTACACACCTCCTCTTCCGCTTGTGATGTTTTGTGTTTTATTAAGCAAAACCTGACTTATGCATGACTATGTATACTAATTTAGTCCACCCATAAAATAGTAAATAAAAATAAAAGCTTGGGGTGCCTGGGTGGCTCAGTTGTTTGAGCGTCCCACTCTTGATTTCAGCTCAGGTCATGGTCTTGTGATTGTGGGATTGGGCACTGTGCTGAGTGCTGAGCCTGCTTGGGATTCTCTTTCTCTTGTTCTCTCTGCCCTTCTCCCACTCGTGCTTTCTCTGTCTCTCTCAAAATAAATAAACTTAAAAATAACAGCTCAGTTCCTTTTGACAGATGAAAATTTTACAGAATTTTTCCCCCATAATACATTGGCTCATCTTGCCTTCTTGTACAACCCACTTTAAGACCACTGACATAGGAAACAAAGCCTGCCCTTGGGTATGTAGCTGACCGTGGTTTCTCTACTAACCCTGCCAAGCAACTGAAAAACAAAAAACAAAAAACAAAAAAAAACCTAAGCCATGTCATCATGGCAACATATTTTGAAAACTTTTACTTCAACAACTCCTTATAACATGTAGCATCCATATACATGATAGTTTATTTCTTTGTTCCAGTGGAAATGCAGGCACTGGTAAATAAAACTGCCCAACACTAGGAAGGGAATCTAAAATCAGATCCTAATGGCACCTGGGTGGCTCAGTTGGTTAACTTTTTTTTTTTAAAGGTTTATTTATTTTGAGAGAGAGAGAAAGAGAGAGAGGGCACATGGGGGAAAGGCAGAGACAGAGGTTGAGAATCCCAAAAGCAGTATCTGTACTGTTAGTACAGAGCCCGATGCTGGTTTCAGTCCCATGAACCATGAGATCATGACCTGAGCCAAAATCGAGAATCAGATGCTCAACCCATTGAGCCACACAGGTACCCCATGACCCACTGTTGATTTTGGCTTCGGTCATGATCTCATGGTTCGTGTGATTGAGCCCTGCTTTGGGCTCCATTCAGACTCTCAAAATAAAATAGAATAAAACATTAAAATCAGAACCTAGGAAAACTGGTATTTTCATTTGCAACTATGATTGCATATCCTGTTTATTCAAAATTTACTTCTTGATTTTCACTCCCCTGTTTAGCTTAAGCCCTTTTAGGTCAATAATTTGGCCTGATTATATACTAGGAAGTTAAAGAATTGTCAGAAATGGTCAGAATTGTGTATCAGACGGAGTGAAAAGTATTGTTCACCAAAAACTGTACACAAAGCTTACTATTAAGGTAACTGAAATAATTTGTTGCTAAAGTCCCTTTTATCAAGGACAGAAGGATAAAAACCAGAGCTGGGCAATAGGCCCCATCTAGTGGTGACTCGAAGAAAAGCAGGTAAAGCTAAAAAAAGTCTTGTTTTCTTGTAAAGATGAGCTACTAGTTATTTCCCTGAAGCCCTAATTAGAAGGGCTAGAATCTGTGAAGCTGTTAAAGGTGAAGTTCCTAAGTTGGTGATTTTCACTGGAGAATATATTTAAGATCAAGTGGATCACTCAGGAAGCATATGTAAAGTGCAGATTACGCTCTGCCCTAAAGGATCTGATTTACTAGGTCTGGGATAGCGGACTTCTCCAGATACATTAGGTGTATTGTAGCTGAGCTCTTTCTCCTCCCCATTAGGAACTCAGGTACTTCTGCAGAAGGGTGGCAGAGGTGGCAGAAGTTTAGAGATCAAAAGTGTAAGTGACCTAAGGTTTAGAAGGAACATGAAGATAGCTGGCCAAGCCTTTCCTTCAAACAAGTTGAAGCTGTTAGCCCAGACAGAAGGCCAACTTTTTTTAAATTTTTTAAAAGTTTTTATTTTTGACAGAGATTGAGAGAGACAAGAGTGAGAGAGTGTGAGCTGGGGAGGGGCAGAGAGAGAGGGCGACACAGAATCTGAGCTGTCAGCACAGAGCCTGATATGGGGCTTGAACTCATGAACCATGAGATCATGACCTGGGTGGAAGTTGGATGCTTAACCGACTGAGCCACCAAGGCGCCCCCATGGCCAACTTACCTTAAACTATTCAATACAGGTTCTTAGATTCCCCCTCACCTTTTTAAGAGAAGAGATTGGCCTAAATATTCTCAAAGTGCTTTTGGCACTCAGCCTTTCACAACCCTCACGTCCTCCCTCCTCTACCTATATCCAGATGTGGGTAATTCTGTGTCTTAGCTTACTAAGAAGTACAATTCTATACTTTATTAAAGAAATACATTTTAATGGTGGTGGTCTCTGATCTTATTCTATTAATAGGAGACAAGGGCAATATTAGGAAATAAATGAACTCTTACTGGGAACCTGGTGTCCAGTACTGGGCCTGGGCTTTTTACATACCGTAAAATGAATGCACTGCTGCAATCCCCTTCTGAAGGACACAGTCTCTCTACCGAAGAAGAAGTGAGTCTCAAAGAGGCTAACTGATCGTGCAGGATCATATAGCTAGTAAGCTAGAGAGTATGTGGACTTCGGTTTGAGTGCCAAGTGTGTCCTTTTTCTCTATGTGTGCTGCTTCACGTGAAAATCCACAAACAGCCCTGCAACAATCAACTGCACTAACCATTTCTCAAACTAAAATATCTTTCTTCAGAACTACTGAAAAGGAGGAAAAGTATTTTATAGCTACTTTCCTGTCCTTATTTAGATATGTACATCCAAAATACCATACGATAATGTGTGGAACACGGGAACGGAGAAAATAAAGGAACTGAGTAATCTGCCATTGACTACATGACAACACTGCTTGGGAACATTTTATTTACTTTAAAATAAATATTGTGCTGTAAAACTATCCAGAACTCAAATCTGTAGTATACAGTAGGCAGATACAAAGGATGGCCAGCACAGTGTGTTTTGTTGGAGTAAATCATTCTAAGTCAAAAGAGAAGGATCTCTGACTGCCTACACCAGGTACATACCTTGGGGAGAAAGAAGCAGATACAAGTTCCAAGAGAAGGAATCTACTGCAAATAAGAGTTTCTTGAGATTAACAGAGGTGAAGAAAACTTAATGTTGTGAGGCTTACTATGTGCCCAGTTTCTAGCTTAACACCTGGTAGAGAGCAACTGCTAAATAAAAATTTGTGGAAAGGATTTCAGGCACTGGAATTTACATATTTTACATAGTCTCCCATTTAAACAACCTCCTTTCAATTTCTTTCTTCATTATCTTTAGTTCATTAACTAGTTATATATACTATAATTTACATAATAAATCTAGATCAATAGGTACAACAATTAAGACATTTCATTAGGCTGGGTTCTAAACTGCTTGGATGAGATTTATCTTGGAATCACATTATCCAAGCAAAAAACACAATCGGTTCATAAGACACGACACAAAATGAAAGAAATGAGACAACTATCTGCCTTAAGAAGTTTATCCATAACCTCTTATATACACATATATATTCACAAAGTGGTTGAGAGTCCTTTTATACGATCCTTTAGACGAGGTCCAATGGCTGAGAGCTCTATGAGACACATGGTCAGACAGAAATCATTATGACTGTCAATGATCTTTTCTTTCTCCAGACTTTATTATCCTTTAGTTGGGAAGAGAAAGAAGTCCATTTTCATCTGCTGTATCTAAGATTTTACAGATCACTGGAGATTCAACCTAAAGAACAAAAACAACAAAACCATTAAAAAGTTGCTAAACTAAATACTTTATTCAGTAGTCTTTTGCTGTGTGAATTCATGTGTGTAAGTCTGTTAAATGTCTATTCACAAAAGTGTAATATTTTTCCAAAATTGATGAATAGTATCAACCCATAAATACACAAAGGTCAATGAACGCTGACCAGGAAAAATACAGAGAAAGCCAGTTAGGCATCACATAACCAAAGGTAGCACCATAAAACTTCTAGGAAGAAGTACAGCATAATATTTTCATGACTTTGGAGTGGCAACGTTTTCTCAGAACAAAAGAAATCATTCACCACAGAAGGGAAAAAATGGATAAAATAAACTTTATCGAATAAACCAACTTCTGCTCATCAAAAGACATTAGGAAAATAAATATGCAAGCCACAGATTGAGGAAAAGAATGTGCACTATAAACAGAGACCTCATTTCCCTCATATACAGAATATATTTGAACTCCTAGAAAAAAGACAAACAGTAACAATAAAAATGGTGAAAGACTGACAGATGACAGACTCTCCTTGACCAAACTCAAGTTAGGCTCTCCCACTCCCTCTTTTCGACTACACTTCTTTTTGTATTTGTGTCCTGTCTTGGGCCTGCTGAGTCCAGCTGCAGCAAGACTCCCAAAAAGTCAGTGTGGAGAGAAGCCCACACTCAATATCTAACCATTCTCCGTATCTGATCAAATTCCTCATCTCTCACATTGGATGGCTGGGCATCCTGGCCTGTCGTCAGCAATAATCATATCAAGTCGGTTTATGTCGATGTCACCTCTTAGCAGTTTTCCATCCACTGAGTCCCCGGCCCTCACCCCGCCCCCTTCTGCTTGGCTGGATATCCCCAGCTGTCTTTGCTGTAAGTGGAGTTAAGCTGGGTCTCTCTTCCCTACTATGACAGTCTTGACACTTACTGCCAACAGGCCTGAATAGAGACTGAATAAGTGTCAGGATTTTTCTTTCAGAAGACTTGGCTAGATATTTCACAAAAGATCACACGAAAAGGTGCTTGCCACCATTTTCCATATGGGAAATGCATATTAGGATGACTAAAATGGCTAAATATAAAAGAGACCGATAACACCAAATGTGGATAAGGATGCAGAGCAGCTGATTCTCACACACTACTGGTATGAGTGTAAAATGGTGCAGACACTTGGACAGCTATTTGGTAAAAGCTAAACATGTATCTAACCTATGATTCAGCAATTCCACTCCCAGGTACTTATCCAAAAGAAATGAAAATACATGATCACAAAGCACCTTGTAAAACAAAATGTTCCCAGCAGCATATTCACATGATAAAAAATGAGAAACAACACAAATGTCTTGGCAGAAGAATGGATCAGCAAATGTGGTTAACTTATACAACTGAGTACTGTTCAGTAACAAAATGAGAATGAAGTACTGGAGTGACATGGGTGAGTCTGAAAAACATGCCAAGTTAACGAGGGCAGGCATAAAAACCTAGGTACTATATGATTCCATTCGTGGGGAATAAAAAACCAGGCAAAATTGCCCTATGGTATGAGAAATCAGAAAGGGGTATCTTTGGGGGTTGAGGAGTATTAACATAAAAGGGGTATAAAAAATTTTTCCGCAGTGATAAGATACCTTGTTTTGGGGGATAATTACACAGGTATATAAATTATCAAAATGTATCAAACTCAGCACCTAAGATCTTTGCATTTTATTTTATGTAAATTATACCTCAAAAAAAAAGTTTTCAGATTTTATAGAGATAATATGGGGCCATATGAAATGACTGACAGTCCTTTCTAGACTTAATGCTAAAAATCAAAACGTGTTCCCAAACTGAATTCCTAAGTATTATTTTTTTACTTACCCCAAGGATATACTGACAGGAGTGAGGCTCTAGCATATATACAGTAACAGCATGAGGAGAATCTGATTCTTTACACCTAAAACAGAGAGTACTTTAAAGTACTGCCCAAACCATATAAAAGCATTTTTAACTGTTTTCCTCTTAAGCTATAAAAAATGTATTTCCTGTATAATTGTATATAATAACTGACATAATATAATTTAACAATCATTATAACTTATAAATAATATTAAAATAATTTTAATATTTTATTTAATGATTTTTTTAAAGTTTGTTTATTTATTTTCTGATAGAGGGAGAGTGTGTACATGCATACAAGTGGGGGAAGGGCAGTGAGAGAGGAAGAGAGAAAGAATCCCAAGCAGGCTCCTGTCAGCCATGTGGGGTTTGAACCCATGAACCATGAGATCATGACCTGAGCCAAAATTGAGAGATGGACGTTCAACTGGCTGAGCCATCCAGGTGCCCCTGATTTTCATTCTATATCTTTTAAAGTTTCTTTCTCTCTCTAAGTAATCTCTACACCCAATGTGGAGCTCGGACTCACAAACCCAAGATCAAGAGTGGCATGTTCTTTTGACTAAGCCTGCCAGGGGCCCCAATTTTAATATTTTAGAGTAAAGTAGTAATTCTTAAAAAGTGTTTATTTTTGAGAGACAGACAGAGTGTGAGCCAAGGAGGGGCAGAGGGAGAAGGAGACACAGAATCCAAAGCAGACTCCGGGCTCTGAGCTGTCAGCACAGAGCCCAATGTGGGGCTCAACCTCACACACCTGAGATCATGACCTGAGCCAAGTCGGATGCTTAACCGACTGAGCCACCCAAGTGCCCCTGAATAAAGCATTAATTTGTACGATATTATATCATGCTATTATGCAGAAATATAATTATGTATAATTATTCACAATTATATTTCCTATTTATATAGACTTTTGCACACTAGATGCAGATTAAAGAGAAAAGCATAAAGCACAAGTTGATGGTCCAACTTACTTTAGTTTTACAGTCACCTGTCTTGGTTTGTCAGTTATATCACAAATATCTCCATTCCCATAAAAATGTGATACCATCCTGAATCAGAGAAACACACAAGTCCGTTAATTCACAGTAACCCTAACAGCGAGGGTGAGAAGATGGTGACAGGGATCAGTTTTGCATTAGTTATAAAATATTTTTAGGGTCAGGTCACAGAGAAAGTGTTTCAGATTCTATAAAGGAGAAAATAAAACTGAAATATTTCAGAGTGATTTACTTACCAAGAATAATTTCAATTTGCATATTTTTTATTTGTATACAAATAGTTTAGGTTAAATTGCTTTTTTAAAAGTCCTTTTGAAGTTAACAATTTCCTGAGCCCTTTGTTTACTTTGTGGTAAGTTTTCCCTCCTTCCCATCCTTCAGCCAGCTCCACTCATAAAAATATGTAATGCAGGTGTACAAAGGTACAGCCTAGGCTAAGCTACAAATTCCAAATATGCAGGGTCCAAAAAACAAAAAAATGTTTAAATTTTGCTAGCCTTACACTCCTGTGTTTCAAACTGATTTGTTGCACATGATACCATGAACTATTTTCACACGAAACATATACAAACCTAAAAGTCCCTCTGTTTAGAACTGATGGATGTGGGGGGGAGGGGGGATGGGCACTTGTGGGAATGAGCACTGGGTGTTATGTGGAAACTAATTTGACAATAAACTATGTAAAAAAAAAAAAAAGAGAAAAACATATCTAAAAAAAAATTCAAGAAAGCTCTAATCAAACAATAGCACAATGTGACATTCTTAAATGGTACCTAAAATTTTACTAAAAAAGGTCTAATAATTAATACACTGTATTTCCTACTCTTGATTTTATAAATGTGCTTTATTCTATTTAATTAAGTATGAAAAATTATTCTCACTTCAATGTTTTCAAATCAATAAAATTAATACATTTGCTTCTCAAAAAAAAAAAAAAAAGTCCCTCTGTTTAGTATATTCTAATAGTTAAATGCCCATCTCTTAATTTTGCTGATTTTGGCCAGCCCAAAAAGCACAATTCTTTTTTAACGTTTATTTATTTTTGAGAGGAGAGAGAGAGTGTAAGCAGGGGGAGGGGCAGAGAGAGAGAAGGAGAGAGAGGATCCGAAGTGGGCTCTGTGCCATCAGCGCCGAGCCTGATGTGGGGATGGAAACCACAAACTGAGATCATGATCGGAGCTGAAGCAGGATGCTTAACTACTGAGCCGTCCAGACACCTGATTGTTTTTTTAAGATTTTATTTTTAAGTAATCTCAATGCCCAAGCGTGGCTCAAACTCACAACCCCAAAACCAAGAGTCTTGTGCTCTATCAACTGAGCCAGCCAGGTGCCCTGAAGTCAGCACATTCTAAAAAACAGTCTCTCAATACCATGTGTGCTAGGAGGGATAAACTTAATGCCCAATAAAGAGAAAGAATGAATAATTTAAATTCGCCAGGCAGCAGACTACAAGGAAAACTAAAGCTTAGTTATTCTTGGGAAATAAGAGATTAATTTATTTCTGCTGTAACAAGATATACCTATATAACTCAGAGAAGATGTGAGGTAGTTTTTTAAAAAGCCACTGTTTATTTTCAACCATAACCTCACAAAGGTAAAGCAACAAAGGAAAATGTGAGTGGTTATTTATTTTTAATTTATTTTTATTTTTTTAAGTTTATTTATTTTGAGAGAAAGAGAACATGCGCGAGTGGGGCAGGAGCAGAAAGAGGCAAAGAATCTCAAGCAGACTCTGTTCTGGGTGGGAGGGAGCCCTTAGTGGGGCTCAAACTCATGAACCTGCCAGATCATGATCTGAGCTGAAACCAAGAATTAGACACTTAACCAACCGAATGAGCCACCCAGGGGCTCCTCGAGTATATTTCAAGAGAATTTAACTAACTTAAAGAGGGAAAGATCACACATTAAAAAGGCAAATGCTTGATAACACTCTCAGGCTTAATACGCGGAAATGAGCCACTGTGTCTATCGCCAGTGCCACCACTCCCATAGCCGTCACTGTTAAAGGCAGTAGCCAAAATTGACTGCATGCTGTTGACAGGCATTATGCGTTACTTAAATGACCTTGTTTAAATGTCCTAACAATCCTATGAGGCAAATACTAGCAGACAAGAAAAGTGGGATTTAAGAAGACTATGCAATCTGCCCAAGGTAGTAAGTGAAGAGCCAGTATTCGAATCCAGCGCTCCCTGTTTCAGAAACTGTGTTCTTAACTAGTACCTTGAGAAAAGATACTGAAGTGTTTCAATTTTATGTTTTTCAATATTCTGAGTTTTAAATATTCTACTAATCAGATCCAAGGACAAATAAAGTTAATCTTTACCTGACTGTCTGGGTACCATCGTCTTGAAGGTGATAGGCTCTGGCAGTATTCTTCTTAGCCCATTCAATATGATCTTCTTGATTCCATGTCCCCACAACCACAGAGGTCTTCCCACTGTCCTTGTCCTAATATATGAAAAATAGTTGTTAATGCACTCTTCATAATATCAAGTAGACATTCATGCTGATGGCCTGCCTATAAATTATAGTCCTTATCTCCACCTGCACACTAGGTATATGTGTTTACATGTTAGTCAAACCTGATGAGGAGAAATTTGAGCTCATTATCTTCTTTATTCTTTGTTTCTCTGAATAATGAAACTGCTTTCTGGTCAGGCTAGCTCCAAATGCAGTTATTTCTATTTCCTTCCTCTCTTACATTATTTCCTGGGGATATTCTTGGCTTCAGAATCTTCCTCTACATTTCCAATGTTAATATTTCATTCTCTCAACCAAGAGTTTAATCTCTCTTACCTAGATGATACAAGTACATACTACTGCGATTCTTTTATAAAATTTTTGTGAGAGAGTGCAAGCGGAAGAGGGGTAGAGAGGATAGAGAATCCAAAGTAGGCTCTGCGCTGTTGACAGCAGCAAGCCTGATGTGGGACTTGAACTCAAGAACTGTGAGAACCAAAGTCAGATTATCAACCGACTGAGCCACCAGGCGCCCCACTACTGTGATTCTTAAAGAAATTAAATCTCTGGGCTGTATTTTTTACCCTGCAGCCACAATGAACCTATCTTCATCCTATGTCTACTCTTTCAAATTCTTCAGGTTATACTAGTATTCACACTAGTCATTTGACATCATGCTTATTTCTGTATCAAGACTGTTCAGAAACCCCCTTCCCCATTCGGATTTTATTATTTTGTATTAAATTTTTGCTTTATTATTTATTTATTTTTAAACTCTATTTATTTATTTTTTTAAATCTTAGATAGCATGAGACGGGGAGAGGGCCACATGGAGAAAGAAGGCTCGATCCCATGACCCTGGGATCATGACGTGAGCCAAAATCAAGAATTGGCTGCGCAACTGGCTGCACCACCCAGGTACTCCAACTTTTATTATTTTGTACTGTTTTATGTGTGGATTTCCGTCCTTCTCTCTTTTTCTTTCCTCTCCCCTCCTTTCCTTCCTGTCTTTCTTTTCCTTTTTCATATTTTATGCCAGGCACCATGCTGAGCACTAGCATACAAGTGATCAGTAGGATTAAAAATTCTTACAGTGGCACATGAACTGGGCATAGACAGGGACTGGAGCTGTATAGTGAAATGTTTAAGGAGGCTGGATACAGAACAAGACTGCCTGGGTTAGAATTCTGGTTTTATCATTTACTACCTATATCATTTTAGGTAAGTTACTAAATTATTGCTTCCGTTTCCTCACCTTGGAATAATAATATTCACCTCTTACGGTTCTTAGGAGAATTAAATGAGGGGTGCCTGGGTGGCTTAGTCGGTTAAGCATCCGACTTTCGCTTAGGTAATGACCTTGTGGTTCGTGGGTTCGAGCCCCGTGTCGGGCTCTGTGCTGACTGCCAGCTCAGAGCCTAGAGCCTGTTTCGGTCTGTGACTCCCTCTCTCTCTGACCCTCCCCTGCTCACGCTGGCGCTCTCTCTCTCTCTCCTAGAAATAAATAAAACATTAAAAAAAAAAAACCTAGGGGCGCCTGGGTGGCTTAGTCGGTTAAGCGTCCGACTTTCGCTTAGGTCATGATCTCGCGGTTCGTGGGTTCGAGCCTGTTTCAGTCTGTGACTCCCTCTCTCTCTGACCCTCCCCTGCTCACGCTGTCTCTCTCTCTCTCCTAGAAATAAATAAAAACATTAAAAAAAAAAAAAAAAAAACTAGTTTAAAAAAAAAGAGGAGAATTAAATGAGGTAATATGCATACTTAGAACAGTGCCTGGTATACAATGAATATTATATTTGTAAGCTACTATTATTTTTATATCTCCCAAAGCTCCTAGTAGAGTCCTTTGGAAAGTTCTAGGTTATATAACCTTGGGCAAACTAGGTTTGATAAAACCCAGTGCTGGCAAGTATATGGGGGAAAAAAAGCCACTGTTAATGGGAATGACTTCCAAAATGTTCAGTATATGTATATTTTGAATTAGCAAGCACATTGCTAGAAATGTGCCTTATGAATATACTTGCAAAAGTTTACCAACAAAACTACTTATAAATGCTCACTAAAATACTATTACAGCAAAAACTGGAAACACTTCCAAGGTCTGTAGAGATCTGGCTAAATATATTGTGGACATAGACCTAATCCTTTGTATATGCTGAGAAGGAGATCAGCTGTTGCTGGCGTGGGAAGATCTCCAAGACAATAATTGAAACAAGTGGAGAGCAGAGCCTTTAGCAGATTCCTTCTGTCTAAATACAAGGTTATACCAACATTTACACATAGCATTTGTTTTCTTGTGGAGGGTTAACTAAGAAAACTCAAGAGCAATTACTTTTAGGAAATGGGACAATGGTGGAGAAGAATTTTACTATTCATTCTAAATTTCTGGTATGTACTCCTTTAATTTAAAAACAAAAAGCCATTGTGGAGTGCCTGGGTGGCTCCGCTGGTTAAGGGAATGATCTTGATTGCGGCTCATAGTTTGTGAGATTGAGCCCTATGTTAGGCACTGTACTGACAGGGCAGAGCCTGCTTGGGTTTCTCTCTCCCTCTCTCTCTCTCCCCCTTCCTAGCTCATGGTTGCTCTCATTCTCTCTCTCTCAAAACAAATAAAGTTGTTTTTTTTTTTAATGTTTTTTTTATTTATTTCTAGGAGAGAGAGAGACAGCATGAGCAAGGGAGGGTCAGAGAGAGAGGGAGTCACAGACTGAAACAGGCTCCAGGCTCTGAGCTGGCAGTCAGCACAGAGCTCGACGCGGGGCTCGAACCCACGAACCGCGAGATCATGACCCAAGCGAAAGTCGGACGCTTAACCAACTAAGCCACCCAGGCGCCCCTCAAAACAAATAAACTTAAAACAAAAAATAAATCCCCTCTTCACTACTTCTCATGCAAATTTGAAAAAGATGAATAAATTCTCTTAAAAAAAAAGCTGTTGCATATTATCTGGGTTGTAGTTAGGCATTAATAAACATTATTAAAATAAATAAAACATCTATAAAGCAGCAAGAATAAATGGGAAGAAGAGTAAAATTGCACGTCTCAGGTTTAAGTAAAGAAAAAAAACTTTCTTAGTTTACAGATGCCCCCTAAATTTGGAATGATTTAAATGTGGAATGTGAGTTGATGATCTTTCCTGGTATGGTTTGTCTTGGAACTTAAGACTGGCTCAAAACATCTCAAGAGGGCAAATACAGTATTTTCTAATTACTAGTTATTATTTCTTTAGGGAATAAAAAGCCTTTTAAAACAGCCAGGTAAATATTTGTTAATTAATGTTTGTCTTCAAACAGTTTACCTTACCAAAGTACAACTATGACAGATAAGTTGTTTAATAAGGTCTGAAGTTTAGACTTTAAGCAGCTTGGCTCAAATGTGGGAGAATATGCTATCTGATTTATGAAATTAGAAATAAAAGGAAGAATCAAAAGCCAATGTGTATAATCTTAAAACTTACTTGATTTTAAACTTAGATGATATGGTATGTTCTTTAGCTGAGAAACTTGCTGTACTTACACTATTTTCCTAACATGAGCCATAATGTACTATCTTATTATTCATTTTGTTACTGTTTTTTTTAACTCTCTTAATTTAAAGAATTATAATTACTAATTTCGTGGCTAAAGAGGTTAGCTACAATAGCTTATTATTCCTCCACAGCACAAATAGAAGAATCTGAGCAGTTAAAAGTTAAACAATCTTACTTTAAGATGGTTGACTTAGGGAGGCACCTGGGTGGCTCAGTCGGTTAAACATCCGATGTTGGCTCAGGTCATGATCTCACAGTTTGTGGGTTTGAGCCCTGCGTCAGGTTCTGTGCTGACAGCTCAGAGCCTGGGGCCTGTTTCAGATTCTGTGTCTCCCTCTCTCTCTGCCCCTCCCCTGCTTGCACTCTGTCCCTCTTTCAAAAATAAATAAACATTAAAAAAAGATGGCTGACTTGGTTAATTGTACCAAATTTTCCATTTTCCAGAACTTACAGACACTTTGAAGTATTTTCATATTTAAGTCATTTCATAATTAAAAACACCATCTCTCCTCTTTTTTTTTCACAAAAGATTTTTAAAACTTCATCTAATGGTAGAATGATATAAATGCTATTCCATACCCATACCTCATGATATTGATGTACGTGTTTGCCATAGCAGAATTCATATTTCCACCAACCAACACCCTACAGGAAAGCAAACAGATCAAGTTACATATAGAGAATAGGGGATTGGGATCTGTCTCAGTGTTGCCACATGACAGTGATGGGGGGGAAATATATATAAACTATATTAGCGATAACATGGTTATTAAAAGTTACTGCGAAAAACATTATAGGGTGAAAGATGGTAACTATACTTATGATGAGCATTAAGAATTGTCAAATCACTTTGTTATAGCACCTGAAACTAATATAACATTGTATGTCAACTATACATCAATAATAAAAAGAGAAATTACAGAGAAAGACCAATTTAAAAAAGACAAATATGGAGAATACCTACTGTACTGTCTTAGTAAAATAAAATAAAGTGAAAATTTCACTTATTGTATTTCTCACTGGAACTAATTAATAGTCTATTAGGGGCAAAATTTAACCTTTGTAGATGTTAACTCAAGTTCTGAGTGTGATCGGTACATAACCAAAATGTAAGCCATATAATTATTTTTATGCTATATAATCTTTGATGCCCATTCTACCAATCAACCCAAATCACAGACTTAGTTATATATGTCTTTTCTGTCAAGTAAAGGTCAAGGTTTAGCTTGTGAGTAAAGAGGACATAATGGCTACAAATTATATAGTAAGATGCAGAGACAGAATGTCTATTAGGAGGTTTCTAGAATCCTGCCATTTCTCTATAAACAAAAACATTTTCAGTGCTGCTAATGGCTGCTGACTAATCAACATACAAGTGAAGGCTGTTAAGATAAATATTGAAATCAAAGGCTCACTTCTCACCCCATGAAAGCAGTAAGAACCACTAAGGAACTCTTTTATGAGCTGGTCATCTGTCAATTTGGATATATGGGTTGTTCCAACAGTGAGCATAGGCTGAGAACCAACAGCAATGGGTTTGTGGATTGCTGGAAATCTCTCTTCTTTAGTTGACTGCAACTCTTCCTAAAATTAAACACATATGTTCAAGGCATTCTGTACCAAGCTTATTTTTTCTTCAGTTATAACGTATTATTTCTAAATGTAGGAAATTTTGAAAATAAAAGTTGTCCACTCATTTTTAATGTGTTGTTAAAAAATGAATTTTTCAACACTTAATACAATAGAGAAAGTTCTAGACAAATGTTAGTTCTGCCTACCAGTTAAGGGTATGATGGTCATTCTTAACATACAGGGATAATTTCCATTTCATATGTTTTGTCTCCTTGTTTTTCGTCTTTTTTTTGGATTATAGCAGCTAGAATTACTCTAGTGCAAGTTACCTAAGCTAAGTAGTACTCTACCTTACTAGAAATACCACAAACACATTACATATACACAAATACACACAAATACACACAACTTTCTTTTTTAAAAAAAAATTGCTAATGAAACTGTAAAATTCCACAATTCTTCTCAAGTACAGTTTGACAGTATGTATCAAAACCCTTTATTATGTGCTTACCTATTTGTGCTTACTTAAGTGCTTACATGTGACCTGTTTCTAGAAATTTATTCAGAGTTAATGATCACCATTGATGGGTGCAAAGACTTAGCTCCACTGACATTCAGTGTGACATTCTTTATGTTAGCAAAAATTTGTGGACAAGAAAAATATCCACATTAGTAAATTATTTAAATAAATTTTGGTACTTTAAACAATGCAATAGTTGAGATAATTAAAATAACATTATAGAAGATTACTTTATGACATAGTAATATAGAAATAATATACTGTTAAGTGTAAACAAGTGAAAAAAATTTTAAATGTTTTTATTAGTGAGAAAGAGAGAGAGAGAGACAGTGTGAGCAGGGGTGGGTCAAAGAGAGAGAGAGAGAGGGAGATACAGAATCTGAAGCAGGCTCCAGGCTCTGAGTTAGCTGTCAGCACAGAGCCTGACACGGAGCTCAAACCCACGAACCATGAGATAATGACCTGAGCCGAAGTTGGACGCTTAACTGATTGAATCACCCAAGAGTCCCACAAGTGAAAATTTTATTTATGATATATACACACATATATAGATAGTCTGGACCCAGTTATTATTTTTAAAGTTTTTTTAAAATGTTTGTTTATTTTTGAGAGAGAATCAGAGCATGAGCAGGAAAGGGTCAGAGACAGAGGGAGACACAGAATCCAAAGCAGGCTCCAGGCTGAGCTGTCAGCACAGAGCCCTATGTGGGGCTTGAATTCACAAAATGTGAGACCATGACCTGAGCCCAAGTCAGATGGTCTTGGCACCCCATCTGACCCCAATTATGGGGCACCCCATATTATGATTATTATTTAAAAAATTTTATTATTATGTTTTAAACATTTATTCAGTTTTCAGAGAGAGAAAGAGAGACAGACAGAGCGTGAGTGGGTGAGGGGCAGAGAGAGAGGAAGAACCAGAATCTGAAGGAGGCTCCTGGCTCTGAACTGTCAGCACAGAGCCCAATGGGGGGCTTTTACTCACAAATTGCGAGATCATAACCTGAGCCAAAGTTGGGTGCTTAACCAACTGAGCCACCCAGAAACCATATTATTATTTTTTAAAGCAAGACTGTTTAAAGTTTATTTATTTTGAGAGAGCGAGAACGAGCATGTGCATGCATAAGCAGGGGAGGTGCAGAGAGAGGAGAGAGAAATACCAAGGAGGATCTGTGCTGTCAGTGTGGAGCCCAACAAAGGGCCCGATCCCACAACTGAGTCCAAGACCCAAGCTGACAGCAAGAGTTGGATTTCCAACTAACTGAACCACCCAGGCACTGCAATTATTTTTTTAATGTGTATCTCTGTGTATCAAAAAAGAACCCCAAAAAGATTGAAAGGAAATTCACTAAAATTTTATTCTTTTTAAGTGTTTTGGTACTTATTAGATTTTGTCTCTACATTTAGTTGTGGAAAATGTGGTTACTATGGGTAAATAAAAGAACAAGAAGGGTAAAGAGGAGCTGAATGGGAGTAAATATGACTATTCATTATAATTATTAAAATGCAGCAGGACCTGGCTGTTGTCCTGGAGGACTCTGGAATTTGGTAAGAGGAGATGCCCACTAAAGCGTTCAGCGAACAGCAAATTCACAGAGGTAGTGATGATTCAAATAGATTTTGATGAAGAAATGAAACATGAAACCTTCATAAAGAGAAAACTTTTAATTCTTGAAACATGAATAATTTGTGATTTATGTGAATGTGTGTCTGTGTTTTGTGTTTGTGTGTATCTATGCATGTGAACCTGAGGAACACTAAGAGCAAGAATGTGGGGGCCCTGGGTGGCTCAGGTGGTTGGGTATCTGACTCTTGATATTAGCTCAGGTCATGACCTCATGGTTTGTGAGATTGAGCCCTGTGTCGGACTCTGCGCTGACAGCGTGGAGCCTGCTTGGGATTCTCTCTCTGCACCTCCTCAGCTCATGTGTGCATTCTCTCTCTCTCTCTCTCAAAATAAGTAAATAAACATTTTCTAAACGAGCAAAGATGTGGGGTATGGCATAATATTTAAAGCTAAAGAGATAGGCAGGTACTTAGTGATAAAGAAAACTACATAATGCTGTATCATCTTATAGATTTTAGACAAAAAAACCGGCATGATCAGATTTTTAAGCAATACTATAGCAGTGGCAGGAAAAGAATAGTAAGAATAAATCCTGAGGTGGGGAGCCACATTAGGAGTTGAAGTAACCCAAGCCAAAGATGAAGAGAATCTAAAGGAATGACAGAAGTGAGGTGGAGAGAATAGTTATGAAAGAGAATAATGAGTTAGAATCCAGAAATAAACTGTGTTCGGACCATGAGTAGAGAGAAAATGAATCTAAATCAGAATAAAAGGAGTATACCAATTAGAACTGAATAATTAAAAAAAGTAAATAGTAGAAGAGTTCCTAATAAATGTATAGTGGACATGATATTTCCTTTCCTCCTGCTGTAGATGCCACGGATCAACTGTGTTTCTTTTCTTCAACTTTGGCTGGTAGAAGTCATTGGATGGCTACTCTAGAAACCAATGACCTTATCCTTTCTCTCCTCCAGTATTACAGAAGAACAAAGATTCCCAAAATGGAATCTTTTTTTCTCTGAAAGGACTTTGGATCTTATGTACAGACCTTCTCCACTCAGAGCATTCTATGCTCCTCGCACTGTTTTAAGTGCTGAGTATTAAAAATGAAGCAGACATAGTCACTGTTCCTAAGGAGCTAAGGTCTAAGAGATGAAGGTAATTACTTAAAATACATGAGACCTATAGTAAGGTTAGTGAGGAAACACATTAATAATGCATAGTAAAACCTCTAGCTCAGGTAGGGGAACAGGTAAATAGAAGTAGGACCATTTATTATTGCTTCTTGTGGACGGAACATCTACTTGCATTTTTAAGAAAAATTATTCCAATAAAAGCAAGATGGTAGTTTTTGTAGTAGTGTTTAGAAATTCATAAAATGGACTCCTAATGGTCCAGTTATCTTCAAATTAATGTAATAACAACACAGCTCGCACGATAACAGCCTGTGCAAATTTACCCCCTTTTATTTTTTTAATTAATTCAGTTTAAAATTTTTTTTAATGTTTATTTATTTCTGAGAGACAGAGAGAGAAAAAGCACAAGCGCGGGAGGGGCAGAAAGAGAGGGAGACACAGAATCTGAAGCAGCTCCAGGCTCCAAGCTGTCAACACAGACCCAGACATGGGGCTCAAACTCACAAACTGTGAGATCATGACCTGAGCCAAAATTGGTCACTTAACCTACTGAGCCACCCAGGTGCCCCAAATTTAACCCCTTGTAAAGGCACGATGGACCCATGCTATCTTTCATTGTATACGTATAACCAGTTAGCAGTAATATCTGTACCATCTTTAGGCACAGAAGACATGATATGGAATATAGACATATTATTCTTAAAAAAATTTTAATGTTTATTCATTTTTGAGAGACAAAGAGAGACAGAGAGTGAGTGGGGTAGAGGCAGAGAGGGAGTCACGAAATCCAAAGCATGCTCTAGGCTCTAAGCCATCAACACAGGGCCCTATAAGGGACTTGAACCCAAGAGCTATGAGATCACGACCTGAGATGAAGTCTGATGCTCAACCGACTGAACCCCCAGGTGCCCCACTCATTAATTATAATATCCAGAGGATTCTTAACAATAGTTACTATAGCCTGACACTCATGAGTACAGAGATTACACCTATGTGAAAAGCTATATTACCAGGTACAATGGGCTTGGATATACTTACCATAGCACAAGGGGGCACCTGTGCTATTATTCAAACCGAATGTTGCACGTATATGCCTGGTAATTCAGGCAGGATCACTACTGCATTAAAAGACATGCACAAAGAGATACACACGTTAGATGGTCCTGTGCCCATTTTAACCCAGTGGCTATCAAATTGGTTTAGAGTCTGGGGGACATGGTGGCAAAAATTATTACTCATTCTATAGGTCTCTTTTCTTGCTGTCTGTACTGCTGCTGTGGCTTATGCCTTCAGCTTGGACACTGTCTGGCCAAAGAGCCCCTACTGCAAAGAACCTTTTTCTGCTGGCTCAGGGAGTATCATGGAAAAGGTGGGTGTGTGAGACTGTAAGGGCTGGATTTGTGGCATAGAGTGTGTGGGCCAGAGTAATGTCGCCTTGGACATACCATGATGACCCCTCTGTTACCTGAAGCCTCCAGGAGTCCAGCAGCCCCCAACATTCTTTCTTCTAGTTCACCTACATCCTTAGGTACACCTTCAGGGTAAAACCTCCTTGATCTGCCCTGGGGATATGACAATGGTGCACATCTATGCTTTTTTTTTTTTTTTTAATCTCATTAGGACTTTATCTAGTGGGTTATCCAGCAAGTTGTTTCTCTATTCACACCCATTCCTAAACATTCTCCTGGGTGGTCCTTCAGCATGTACTTCCAGCCTCTAGGGCTATGAAGGTCTTGCAGGAGGTGGGGTTGTGGGCTCTCTGTCTTGCCACAGCCCAAAAGGCTCCTAAGTCCCCTTAATAAACCATTTCTTGTCAAACTGAACAAAACAAAAACAAAAAAAGCCAGGTACAACATGAAACCAAAAATTTTTTTTCTGTTTTTCCTTTTTTTAAGTTTTTATTTAAATTCCAGTTAGCTAATATACAGTGTCACATTAGTTTTAAGTTGAAACCAAGATTCTGAAAGCCAGATTTGTATTTTTGTTTAAAAAAACAAAAATAATTCATTACAGTAAAGCCTAATCCACATTTAAAAGACAAACCAGGGGCACCTAGGTAGCTTAGTCAGTTAGGTATCCGACTTCAGCTCAGGTCATGGTCTCATGGTTCCTAAGTCTGAGCCCCGCATGGGGCTCACTGATGTAGAGCAGAACCTGCTTCAGATCCTCTGTCCCCCTTTCTTTCTGGCCCTCCCCGGCTTGCACAGTGCTCTCTCACTCTTTCAAAAATAAACATTAAAAGAATAAATAAATAAAAGGCAAACCATATGCTAAACATCAACTTAAAAAAAGCTATGTGTAATAAACTAGATTTATAAAAAAAAATTCTGGAAAAATCAGTTTTAAATAACTGATTCATCTACAGTATTGCCTACAGTTTTCATATACAACACATGTTCTAAAGATCCTAAGTATTTTGATGTTTATTTCTGAGAGACAGAGAGAGGCAGGGCATGAGCAGGGGAAGAGCAGACAGAGAGAGAGAGAGAGAGACAGAATCCAAAGCAAGTTCCAGAGTCTTAGCCATCAGTACAAAGCCTGATGAGGGGTTTGAACCCACAAACCATGAGATCTTGACCTGAGCTGAAGTCAGACGCTCAACGGACTGAGTCACCCAGGTGCCCCAAGATCCTAAGTATTTTGAAAGCATTATCATCTGTAGTTTTTTTATTTTACTTTTTAAACATAATTATTTATTGGGGCACCTGGGTGGCTTAGTTGGTTAAGCATCCAACTTCAGCTTAGGTCATGATCTCAAGGTCCGTGAGTTCAAGCCCTGCATCGGGCTCTGTGCTGACAGCTCAGAGCCCGGAGCCTGCTTCAGATTCTGTGTCTCCCTCTCTCTCCGTCCCTCCCCGCTCATGCTCGCTCTCTGTCTCTTAAAAGTAAATACACGTTAAAAAAAATAAAATAAAAAATATTTATTTATTTATTTAAGTAATCCTGACCCCCAATGTGGGGCTTAAACTTATAACCCTGAGATCAAGAGTCGAATGCTCTCCTGAGCCGGGCATACCCATCTGTAGCTCTTTAAAAATAATTTTTCTCCAATGGCAGATTAAACACATTAATTAAAGGAAAGTAAGCTGGCATTTCTTCCCTGAAGAGTGATTAAAGTTGGGATTTGCAAAGCATTTTGATTGAACTTTCAAGTATGTGTCAGTATTTAAATCACTATTAGGGAGGAGACCAGGAGACCAGAAGAGAAATTCATCTCCAGTCTTTTAACTGAGCATTTCAAATCAAACGCTGACTAATGTTAAGGTAATTTTTCTTTCCTATCAGATGGCAGTATTCACAACAATCAGAGTCTGGCAATACTTTGACAATAAGTACTCAAGAGAAAGGGGAAAAGAGGTTTTGCAGGTGAATGTTAGTTAGTTAATGAAACCCACAGAATACCAGGTATCATACAAGGAGTTGGAAACCCCAAAGTAATAAAGCACACCTTGTTCTCCCTTGATCTTAATGTAAAAATCATAGGAAAAACCATCAATTTTAGCCTTATATAAGTGCTATAACGGAGGACTGAATAAAATACAAGAGCAAAGAAGAGGAAATAGGAATATCTCTTCCTCAGGTGATCCATTAGAAGTCGTGGCTCATTTCAAAGGAAGTTATACTGCTTTGAAAATAATGGGGAAGATAGGAAAAGGGTCATTGTGAGAGACAAGAATCTGAGGGTACTGAAAATGTATTTGGCTGTGTCCAATGAAGAGATGAAAAGCAAAGACAGCATATCAAAAGGGAGAAGCCGCATAGAGCAGTGGTCAAGAGGAGAGGTTCTAAAACCAGATTATTTTGATTTTCATCTGTAATCCATCATCTGTCCCTTCCCTTCTCTGAACCCCTCAATTTCTTAATCTGTTAAGGAAGATACTAAAAGTAATCCTGGAGGTTGCTGTGAGGATTATATAATAGCTGTTAAGATTCAACACATTTGATTACTGTAATCGGTTTAAGTTCAGGGGAAAGGTCAGTGTTGAAGATGGACATTTGGAACTCATGAACATATTAATGGAAGTTGACAGAGTGCCTGGATGAGGCTACCTGAGACTACAGACACTACACTAAGAAGAAAAGGCAACTACAGATAGAACTGTGGAGAACTTCAACATTTTAAGGGGAAAGGAAGCAGACAAAGATTAGCCCACAGGAGAAAAGAACCAGAATAAACCAGGGAGAATGATTTCAAGTAAAGGCAGGAGAGAAAGTTCAAGCTGCAAATGTTCAGTGTTTTACGTGCTAAGATCAAGTTAGGCACATGTCCAGTGAATTTAGAACCTAAAGACTGCCACTGACCTTAGTAAGAACAGTTTTAGAAGAATGATGGTTTGATTACATATAGCAGTAAGTTGAAGAATAAATACAGAATTAGAACATGGGCTGTAGTCTATTTCTTCAAGAGGCTTAGCTGATAAGGCCAGTCAACTACCTAAAACTTAACTATAATTAAATAGGATGTCAAACTTTAAAATATGAAATCATGAGACTAAAAGAATGATAAAATAATTTCTGAGAAATACTAAAATAAGGAAAATAATTAAAGTCAGTTAAAAATTGGAATTTAAAATTTTGAGTCATAAAAATACATTACTACTACTACGCTATTGGAATCATTAAAATATTGATACATACTCTGAAATTTGGAAAAGGAAGCGCCAAGAAAATACTGCTAGATAATTCTCCTACCTCTTTATTTCTCCTGAAAGGCACTCTTAGTATTTCTTCCTGCTGTTCCAGTTGTCTCAGGGTGAGGGGTTTAAATGGTGATCCTGGCAGTGATTGGCAAAATATGTCATTCACAGGAGATGCTCTGAATCTATTCAGCAAGAACAAAGCATTAAAGCTAAGCCTATGACACTTTAAAGCATGTGTGCATTTCATGTTTAAAATATTAAATCCACATCCTACCTATATTTAGGATGATTGCACAGGAGTGGTGTCAAAATGACAACTTCATATTCACAAGTTGTAACTTCAGCTACTGAAAGAATTTCATGCTTAGATTCAGGATGACATATGTACATCACAGTACTCGATCTGGGCCGGTTCTGTTTCAGACTACAAGGTGTACCATTTCCCATTCCCACGGGATAGTAGGGTGTCATCTGACCTTCAATATTTTTAGTGGGAATCTTGAAAAAAAAAAAAAAAGAGTACAAGACAGACTTTTCATTAGAAATGGAGGTGGGGGTGAGGATGGGAGAAACACTCTTTTTTTTTTTTTTTTAAAGAAAAATAATTTTTTTTTAATGTTTATTTCTGAGAGAGAGAGGGAGAACATGAGCAGGGGAGGGTCAGAGAGAGAGGGAGATACAGAATCTGAAACAGGTTCCAGGCTCCAAGCTGGCAGTCAGCACAGAGCCTGATGCGGGGCTCGAACCCACAAACCATGAGATCATGACCTGAGCCGAAGTCAGACGCTTAACCGACTGAGCCACCCAGGCGCCCCGAGAAACACTTATTCTTAAAGGAAGAAACTACATTTTATTTATAAACCAACATTTATAAAGGTAACACTACTATATTTTCTGTATATTCTTCCTCTAATATCCTTTTAATTCCTAAATTCTTATTTGAGCAAATACATATTTTCAGAGCTAGCTGAACACTGTAAGAAAGGAAAAATTTTATTTGGTGCTAATATTAAGATGTTAAGTAAATGTACATTTATATAAAAGGATATAATATCTTGATTAATATGAATTGCTTTCAAGAGTTCTAAAGAAAAAGACTAAGATAAAATATAGGAACTTACAATATTGGACTAGTTAGAGCTTTCCATACTAAACTCTCAGTGAATGGCTGCGTTACACTTTAGATTCTAGAGATTTGAACTCTGATTTGTCAAAAAGTGGGGCTACAGAGTAAAACACTATCTTCTAAAACAGGAATCTCAATACTTTCCTTGTTCATCAATCTGCTTACTCTTTTTTCCCTGTCATTCATATTAAGAGACATACTTTTCATTTATTTTTTTAATGTTTATTTATTTTTGAGAGACAGAGAGACAGAGCGTGAGCAAGGGAAGGGCAGAGAGAGGAGATGCAGAATTTGGAGCAGGCTCCAGGCTCTGAGCTGTCAGCACAGAGCCCGACACGGGGCTCTAACTCACTAACTGCGAGATCATGACCTGAGCCAAAGTTGGCCGCTTAACTGACTGAGCCACCCAGGCGCCCCAAGAGACATACTTTTCAATGTAAACTCCTATCTAAATCTATTCAAAGCCAGCAAAGGACAAAAGAAGAAATTTTCATTGAACAGAGGAATAAAATAGATCAGCTCAGAAGACAACGATTATTAAGGAGCTATCTCCTATATTTTATCTATATAAACTGAAGAAAAGTCCAATAGAACAAGCCTAAAAAAATACTGTTCATACTATCTCCAAGCAAGCTCTTTGGAGGCAGGGGGCTCATCTTGGATCACTTTGCTACCCTGTCAGTGCCATCTCCAAAACAGGCAATAAACAAATGTTTCTAGGGAAAAATATTTTGATTATTTCTTGTATGCTGTTTTCATGCTAGTATCTAGAATTAGAAAATCCTGGGTTCAGAGTCAAGCTTTGAATTTACCAGCTTTCTGACTTTGACTAAAGTCCACTTTTTGTCATTTGTAAGAGGAGAGTAATGAATATATACTCAAAGGCTGGGGGGAAAATTAACCATTACCTTTTGTTACATGCCTGGCACAGTATGTGGCTTATAGATTGGGGCTCAGTAAATGTTAGTTTTCTTCCCTTACCCTTTTCTTCCTCTTCCTGTATCATTTCACACTTTGAATTCCATCTTGCTATCCTCCACAGCCACAGTAAATAAATATTTTATCTCAAAGGTAGTCTGCAAAATTAAAATCTTTTAAAATAGCAGTGTTTTGTGTGTCTATGCTTAGCTTATCGATTCCCCCCAAAGCCACCCTTTTCAAGTTACAGGCAACCCTTTTAAGGCCTTTGCCATTTCATTTTACATCTAGTAAAAGTTATGATTTTATGATATGAAACCACTTCTAGACATATCCTCTATCAAAAGATTATATAACTCTATGGGTGCGTTTAGGATTCAGAAAGCATTCCTTGAACTGTAGGGCCATTTAAAAATTGTGATTAGGTACCCTAAGGAATCATTCTTTTTAAACAATCCTATTTTTCAGTCATCAATTATGCATTCACATTCGATAAACACTTATGAGGTGCCTATATTATATCTTGCATCAGCTTTGTACTGCGGGGTAAAGAGATAAAAGACAGTCCCTGCTTTGAAGATGCTTGCAGTCTGGTAGCTTGTGTAGTTTATCTGTCTTACCCATGGGAGATAGGGACCAAACAAGGGGAAAAAAGCAAAAGCTCTTAATTTATAATTATTTCCCATGTTAAACAGAGGGAACCACTGCTAAGCCTGGAAGTGATAAACTGCTATTACAAAAACTTTCCCAGACATATCTTTGGTAAATTCCTTTATTTTTCTATGATCTTAAAAGTAAATAAAAGTATCACAGTATAACTTTTCTCAGAAAAACCTAACATAATGCAAATTTTCTTTGACCCAATCCTTTGGGGTATTTGATAGGTAAAGAACACAAGACTAAATTCTGTCATTTAAGCTGTATAAATTCATGCCTCACTAATAGATGTTAAGAGTGAAAAAAATCAACACTTATCACTTGCCTCTTTTGATTTTTCCTTTTCATCTGCTTCTTGATCTGTGGAATAATATAAGAGTAAGGTAGGTATAAAGAATGACCACTGACTTATATATAAAATACAGTACAAATGACTAAAGTTTTCAACCAACCCTTTAATTTTAAATTTCTTTCTAAAGAAGATACCAAACATACATATAATTTTTATCTTACAACTTTTATTTTATTTCACAATTGTAGGGATACATCTACATTTCTATTTCCTTTTTTTCTTTTTTTCAATATTTTTATTTATTTCTAGGAGAGAGAGAGAGAGACAGCGTGAGCAGGGGAGGGTCAGAGAAAGAGGGAGATACAGACTCTGAAATAGGCTCCAGGCTCTGAGCTGGCAGTCAGCACAGAGCCCGACGTGGGGCTCGAACCCATGAACCGTGAGATCATGACCTAAGCGAAAGTCGGACGCTCATCTGACTAAGCCACCCAGGCGCCCCTACATTTCTATTTTCATACATAACAGCTATGTTAAGCCAAGAAAAAGACTAACATTAACACCATATTAATATAACATTAACGTATGTTATCTGAAGAGATTTAAAAGAATTAAAAGGTAGCAAAAAGGATACTGTTTGTTGAGGTAGAAAATAATGAAAAGATCTCTGAAAATGTTTTCTAAGAAACTGTTCAGAAATTTATTTTAGTGCTTTAAAATTCATCCAGTCTCCAACAAGATCTTTTAAATTCCAATTTGAGCATATGCTTTCAACCGAATTCCAGCATTACTATCATATCACTCTGTAGAAACGAACCTTTTTCAGAGAGAAGGTTCTTAGCCAGCATATTCCCAAGGTAGTACTCATGAATATTTACTTTCTGTATTTGGAAATAAAATAAAAATACAGTAAGTATTTTGCGAATCCCATGAATTTAACTTGAAAATCATCAATGTCATTATTAACATTCTTATAATATTTCATACTTGATGTTTTGGGGGAAAAAAAAACCGTACCTGACCACTTTCTTTTTCTTCATGGTATTGTCGAATGTGTTTTCCGTGACATACTTCATAAGTCCAGTAAGACTCAATCTAAGAAAAATGGATGTATTTACACATACAAAAGTCACCTACGTAAACTGAATTACTTTCTGATATTTTATGTAGTTGAGTAGATTTTCCTCAAGACTTAGAGTAAGCTTGTATTAGATGAAACATTATCATGCTTCAGAAAAATATGAAGTTTCTGAAGCCTGTTCATTGTTTTCACTAATTAGCTGCATGTGAAAACTCTGTGAAGAAAACAGGTCTAGAATACACCTAGAATCTATGATAACATTAGTCTTGGGGACTATTTTTGACATAGTTGACAAAATAACAATTAGCATTTTTAAAATTAAAATTGTATATAAGGAAACTTTCCTTTGAACTAAAAAACATTCAAACCTTATCATTTGGTAAGTGATATTATTTGAAATCGGTTTTAATGCGTGTTTGCTGCATCTACTATCCAGGAATTTAAATAAACAAAACACTATTAAGCAATAGCTTTGATTTACAACTAACTTAAAATTTGATACAACATAATAAAGTAAAAAGAAGTGTAGAATTATTTTTAAGGGTCTATTGGCTATTGGAAATTTATTTTCTACTATTATTAAATGAACATAAAATACGTACTCTGTAGGAACAACTGCTTTGTTTAAATAGTGGCTCCAATAGCTCTCTTGGATTAGGGCCTTTATAATCCTTTTCTTCTTCCTATGAAAGAACTAGGGTTTAATACTTACAATTATTCTAGAACTTCACCCAACTCTGTTGTCTGGGTATGAATTCATTGTTCAAATCACAAATGCTTGGGAATAAAAAAGGAAAAAAAAGTAAAAACTTTTAATAAGATCCTATGGTTTGCCACTTCTTTCAAAAGAATTGATGTATAAAATATGGAGCCATAGAATAATCTTCCATTCTTCTCTTAAAAAAAGGTTTTTGAGTATCAGTTTCCTGAACAATTCTTATAAACTTATGTCAGAAGTTTTAAATACTTGCATCTGAACAGATTCTACCTATGAATGCCTCAGAATAATTGAATCTTGGAGAATGTATGGGAAAGTTTTAAAGTACATCCCAGTTTCCTATATATTTTTACGTTTCAGACTTGAATGCCTTAGGCATATGTGTTATGATTGTGCACATGTGTATATATGTCTTAAGGTTTAAAACCTAAATGAAACAGAGCTGTTCGTTCACAGTTTGCAAATCTGAACAAAACCTAAGAAAGCACTCACTGAGTTTGTAACGTTTCTATTTTACAGACTGTGAAAATATTATGTAATTAGCTCAATAAATTTACTGAGTGGAAGAACTGAGTTTCAAATTTGTTTAAGGTTCCACAGCTAACCATAGCCTATACCTCAGCCTCCTGGCTCCTAGGCTGGTGTCCTTTTCATTTTACCATGCTGACTCTCCTGTTTCATCTTGAAAGAAGTCATTGCCTTGAAGGATGGATAAGAGGTAGTTAGGGCATTTCAGGAGGAAGAAACAGGCATGAGCTAAGGTAGGGAAAAATCACGGGTACCTACAGATTTATTTATTAGAAATTTGTTATAAAAAATATCACATATACATTTAAAAACTATGCCGTTTCAAAACCCTCATTTCTATAAAAGAAAGCAAGCGTGGAATTAGATTTTCATTCAAAATATTAATAATTGATTGCTACTTTTTCCAAGAATTCAAGAATAATAAAAGTGATTACTACTTCTATGCTAAACAGGATTATTGAGAAACCTGTCATTCAGTTTTAAAGTATGTGTTTGCAGTGTTTTAAATAATATCTTTGGTGACAAGCATTATCAATATATTTATAAAAAGTTACCTCATCTCCACTTGTCACAAGGGGCAGAATGCATTTGTATTTTTCTTTATGTGTAGTTGTCATGATGACATAATTATCCTCCTTATACAAAACTCCGGTTGTAGGCTAGAAACAGAACAAAAAATACACATTATTTTCTCTGGTTAAATTGTATTACATTGAATAATTTATAGTCTTAGTTTTTAAAATTTATTTATTTTGAGAGAGAGCGAAAGAGAGGGAGTACGCAAGGGGGAGGGTCAGAGAGAGAGAGAGACAGAGAGAGAGAGAGAGACAGAGACAGAGACAGAGAATCCCAAGCTGGCCCTGTGCTGGCAGCGCAAGAGCCTGATGTGGGGCTCAATCCAATGAACTGCCAGATCATGATCAGAGCCGAAATCAAGAGCTGGATAATTAACTGACTGAGCCACCCAGATGTCCCAGTAATTTACAATCTTAGGTCAAAGTAATTCATCATGTCAATGGAAGATTTTCAAATGTATTTCCAAAGGCAGGGAAAATATTCTACATCTCATTTAAGGACAAAATGAGGATGACAGACTTTATCCAAGTGTTACAATATAAAAAAAAAAAACACAAATGAAATTTGAAGTATAAACAAAAAACTGGTAATGCAACAGACTTATGTTAAAATATGAATTAAAAAGCAATAAGAAGCAATTAATATTCAGATACAGCACTGCTAAATACTTACTTTTATTAACAATTACCATCTATATGTGAGAATCTACAGCACTTTACAAATGTACTCTCAATTCCGTTGGATGGGACAGTTGAACATAATATAGGGCATTACTTTTCATATTTGGATAAGAACAGCCTGGCACAAAGCTCGAACTCACAAACTGTGAGATCGTGACCTGAGTCCACATCATATGCTTAACTGACTGCCATCCAGAAGCTCCAGGAGAAAATACTTTTAAAAGAAAAATCACTAGGAATCCTCTGTGTTTACTCAACTTTTTTTTAGTACGAATCTTGGGTCAGCAAACACTTTCTGTAAAGGGCCATGTAGCAGTTTGGGGCTTTTTGGGCGGGGGGGGGTGTTCATTTATTTATCTTGAGAGAGAGATAGAGTGTGAGCAGGGGAGGGGCAGAGAGAGGATCCCAACTAGGCTCTGTGCATGAGCACAGTGCCTAATGCAGGGTGCAAACTCAGGAACCATGAGATCATGCCCTGAGCCAAAACCAATAGTCAGATGGTTAACCTGACTGAGACACCCAGGCGCCCCTTAACATGTTTGAATCAGCTTTTGTTAACCTGTTTTTAGATTACTATATAGGATCCTGTATTATAACAAAGGATCCTTGTTTAAAAGACCATCGTATTTGAAGAGGGGAAACAGGTTTGAAAGTGAGAGTTGCAAAGCCAAGTTTATGATAAAGTGATCCTTAGAAACATTTATTCAGTTGCACCAACCAATTGCTATAAGATACAACATTTATAATGCCTTTTGATGTTTTTCAGATATACGCAGAATATATGACAAAGACTTGTTCAAAGCATGATTCACATTTGCTTAGCAATGGCTAGCCTGAAGTCTTGCCAAATCATTCCCTTTACTGTAGTGAGGCAACCAGTATAATACAAAGATAGGATAAAATAGGCAGAGAGGGAAAGGATAGGACTTGAGGTTCCTGGGTGGGGAAAAGAATTTTGGAACAATGCTGGGAGGGTGTGACCAGAGCAAATCCCCTCAGGCATAAGGTTCCTCTTAAGAATGCAACAGACAGCCACCTACTCCCCCTCGGGCTTCCCTCAGGAATTTGACAAAAGACCTAAGTAGAAATAAGTACAAGACCATCAATGTATAACCCACAATGATATGGCCATAGACCACTCCTCATACAGTGGAAATGAGCCAATCAGGAATGGGCAACCCAAGCCAATGAGAAGGAACTAGGCGGAAGGGTAGGGGGTGATGACCAGAACCTTATCAAACAGTGTGAAACCACTATTGCATGGATATTCACCTTTGAATGCTCCCCCTCTGTAAAGAGAGCTTTTATACTATTTTTACTTTCTAATCTAGAGTCTATAATAAACTTTTGCCTGCTGCTCATTGTGTGTCCACCTCTTCATTCTTTGAAGCGGTGAGACAATGAATCCCAGGTATTGAGGTAAACGATCCTGCAACACCAGTAGCTTCTGTATTTACTTCTGTATTAACTGTATTTACTTCTATTTGTGAAATACCTGCAACTCTGATGTTCAGAGTTGAATTTGACAGCAATATTGACTTGTTTACTAAAATGTTCACCACAATACTGACACTAACAATGTAAAAACAACTGCTTGTTTGGAATCACAGCAAAGGAAGGAAGACAATCCTTTCTTTGTAATAAAAACCACTCTTGGGGCTTTATGTTTATATGATAAAGGAATTCATTCCTCTTGAAAGGACTTAAGCTACCTCTGTTTTTGATCTCAAACTTTTAGGTGGGTTCTTCTTTCCAGCTTGTCTCTTGGCAAAGCATCCCCTGGAACCAAAACCCTCAAACATTGAGGACTGCCCTGGGCCAGCAAGACCCAGCCCGTGATTGACTCAAAGACAATGATCCATTTGACTTCCAATGTTTACTGGCACATACCCAACCACCTTTGCCCCATATTTCCCATATATAAACCTGAAAGTATTTTTGGCACTTTGGAGACAGTCTTTGGGATTCCAGGTGTTGGCCTCACTGAAATGAATTCCACCTTGTTTTACCACCACTCATTTCTCTGCCTTTGGATTTTGTTACTGGTGAGAGCTGAACCTGGTCTGTTTGGAAACCCCAGAGCCAGGTGCTTTTGCAACCTTTCACCCCAGCTATGTTCTGGTCTATTGTTTTTAGGGTCTACATAAGGGGTAACAAGAAATAAAAGCCATCACTTGTTTGAAGATGCAGATTTCTCTTTCATTGGTTTTGGAAGAGCTGCTTTCCTCTTCAATAAAACAGACCAAGTAGCAATTCTTCTATCTGAAAACTGCTGAAATAGTGAGTCACTTATTGGGATCACCAAGTAAAAAATTTTAACAAACTTTACTTTTTCAAAACAGAAATTACAGGGGAAAAGTTAGCCCTTTCTGATTTTCTAACTTAAAAAAGCTTTTTGATCTACCAAAAATGTTTCTTTTTGATTTAGTAAAATAGTTAAGAAAATGAAGCATAATACTTCTGAATGTATGTAGTGTCAAAATGCTGTTGTATATAACTTAATACCTCAAAGTAGTTTCAGTAGAAGAGGTCCTATTAGTGATCTGATAAAAATTAGATTTTAATATAATGAAACTAATCCAAAAGGGTATGGTACTTTAAGGTTAAGGAACTTTTAAAATATGTTGGCAGGGAAGAAATGCTGAATGTTTACCAAGGGTCTGGAGAAATTAAGATAGAGGATAAGAGACAAGAGTATCCTGATAGAAGCCGTAAAATGGACTCAGTGGCACAACTTGCCAACATATATAGCATGCCTGAATGGACTTGGTCACCATTCTTCCCAAGCATAGTGTCTGGGGAAAGTTTTTCAGGGGGAATACATTTCTATGTTAACAAAAGAAGAGAAAATTAGACTTATTTTGTGGTTTTACTTTGGTGAAGTCTATGAACTCTGTGAAGTAATAAATAGTTGAGCACAAAGATGGGAGGAATTTCAGAAGAAAAATACATACACACACAAAAAAACTGAAAGGTAAAAACCAGTAAACAAAGAATATCATAGCCATGAATTAATGAACATAAACATTAAAAGATGTATACCTTTTTGGTGCTTAATAACGATTCAAAGTAAATGTAAAAGTGAGATTGTAAAGATTATGTATTGTTTTGATATACCTGAATGGGGAGATGATTTAAAGTACAGAAGAATTTTAAAGCTAAAAAAATTCACATCTTCTAATCCAGTCTCTTTCAGTTTCGGAATGTAGAAATAAAGGCCCTTTTCCTTGTTCATACAGCTGCTTAGTGACATATGTCCAACCAACTGGCCCATAAAAGAAAATGACAGTGCCAGGTGAGGAGGGCTGTAGTTTCAGTTACATAAAGTAGGAAGAGAAGCCTTAAGATTATAAAAGTACTAAACCAAAACCCACAGGCCAATGATAATGACTCCCAGAGTTTATTTTTTGCATGAAACTCACAGATCTTTTGCTTACTCACAGAAAAATGTCTCTAGACTTTTCTCAAAATAACAAAAAAAATTCTTCAGATACACCCATCTTAGATTATGTTGCACCGTCAAAAAGAATTGAAAATTAAATTTCAAAATAAAATTGACAGACATGCGACTGGTTGGTACAGGATATCTTTAAGACAGATCTTCCATAACCTCTTTTTAGCCAGCACACAACACTGCAAGCAAATGAAATGAAAATTTCATAGTAACCTCGCAAAGGGCTGGTTTTAGTCATCCACTTACAGGTCAGTAAGTTTTGAAGGCTGCATTTTTTAATTAAAAAAAAAGAAAACCCACAGGTTCAAGAGTAAAATACTTTAAAAAACTTTTTTAAATGTTTTATTTATTTCTGAGAGAGAGAGGCAGCATGAGCAGGGGAGGGTCAGAGAGAGGAAGACACAGAATCAGAAGCAGATTCCAGGCTCTGAGCTAGCTGTCAGCACAGAGGCCGACGCGGGGCTTGAACCCACGAACTGCGATATCATGACCTGAGCCAAAGCCAGAAACCCAGCCGACTGAGCCACCCAGGCGCCCCATGAGTAAAATACTTTAATAACCATATTTTTTAACACCTGCCATGTTCATTTTGTGTGCTCTTTTGAAACAATAACAGAGAATGCACTAAATAAATCATGTTCACCTCAAGGCTGTTAAAGTTATGTCTCACTTATAATACAGTGCAAATATAAACCTGGCTTCCCAGAGAAATATTTTCCTAGATAAATTTCAGAATCTCTGAACTACCAGAACGGGAGAACTGAAAACAGAGGGATGGAGAAACAAAGTGTGAAGTATTCGCAAAAACTAACACCTGCAAGAAGAAATCTGTTGTGGTAAACATGACGTCTGTTATCCTGGTAAATCTTGCTTTAAAATCATGCTTATTCTTGTTTCAGTGAAGTAGTAATAGAACAATATGGCAATAGAACAAAACAGTCACCCCAAATGGAACGACTGCAGGTAACTGGGGTAAGAATTTAAAAAAAAAAAAGAAGCTTTTGTATTTTCCAAGACTTCAATTTGAAATAAATAATTACTAGACGGTTAACTATCTTTAGTGTGCAATTTTTATTGGAAGTAATATTATTGGAATACTGGAAGTAATTGGAAGTAATTATTGGAAGAATAATTGGAAGTAATTACTGGAAGTAATATTATTGGAAACAGGAAGACTTTTCAGCAGAGTACTCCCCAAAGACAGGAGGACTGCAAAGTTTAACTACGAAGTGATAAATATGTTCATCACTCTAGGAAAGCTGATCACAAAATCTTATGTTCTGGGGTTTTAAATAACAGTCGTAATACAGCAAACGTAAAGGATATTTTGAATAGAACGTCGTTAACAGGCCAAATAAATAGTCCTCTCAGAAACAACTCTGAAGAAGAAAGAGCTGTGCCTATACACATATGCACGTGTGTGTATACAGGATAGATACACCGAATACGAGTGGGAACTCCTCTGCAGTACAACCGGTTGTGTCGATCCGGTGCTATGTAATACTGAGGGAGAGAAGGCGGCTGGTGGAGGAGGTACTGCGGCAGACTTTCTAAGGAGAGGATTCAATGTAAGCGCCTGACTTTCTAAGAAAGCTGCTTCCACGGGGTGAGAATGTTGGTAAGCATGGTTTAGGGAGACATTTAAAGGAAGGAGAGCAGGTAACCTCTGGATCGTCAAAGCTTAGTATGGAGGGCATAACCACATAATGTGTTCTCTAAACACCTGCCGTATGAATGAATGAGAGGTAAATAAACCTTTGGGTTAGGGAAGGAGGCTGGCGCCTAGAGAGGTGGTTCTGGGAGAGCAACGCGCAGGTAACGAGGGAAGGGGCCAAACTCTAGTGCTAGGAGGGATTCGCGAGGGCACTGACCAGAGAGAACTCGGTGCCGGGCCAGTTGACTCGGAAAGGGATGTCATCGCTGAGCTGGGGGAGCGCGCGGCCGCCGCCGGACGCCTCTAAGAGGCCGCAGAGGACCAGTAACACCGGCCCGCCTGGGACCAGACTACGCGCGCCGCCGCCTCCTTCCTCCATCCTCCGCTGCCGATTTCTCCAGCCGCCGCCACAACCTCCTCTGCCCACAGAGGAGAGGAGGGGGAGGAGGAGGAGGAGGCGGCGGGACTACTAAACACCCAGGCAGCCGGGGGCCCAACCGCCGCCACGTCTCCTTCCGGAGATCAGGGCAACGCCACCTCCGCCCCCCTTGGGCCTTCCGCCACCGTTTCCGGGGCAGGCGGCATATCAACATCCGGGGCCGCCGAGCCGTCCGCCTACGGAAGCCCGGACGCCGGTTGGCGTTCTCGTGGTTGGCGGAAGAGGAGAAATCGAACATAGTGGCCTCTGGGAAACGGACTTCTTAAGACCCTGCCTGGGACCGGGCCTTCCCGCGCAGAAGTGACGGCACAGAGAGCCGGTGAGTCCGGGAGGCTCCAGCCCCTCCCTCCTGCCACCGGCGCGGTTCTCTAGCGGGTGGGCGGCGGCTTGGCCCGCACTGGAGCGGGAAGAGGAGAGTGAGCGCGGCGGGTGTAGAATTTGGATGCCAAAATTCGAGTTGGCGATGAGAAGTGAGAAGTGGTGGTGTTTCTGACCAATCTATACTACAGCTGTTTTCCTTTCTCCTTTTCTCCGCACATAGCAACTGTACGTTTCATCTTTCCCGCTTGAAGCTTCTCTCCTCCTCTTCTACTCTGGGCTCTGGTCATCTCAGTCCCTTACAGCTACTGACTAACTCAGGGCGGTTTGCTCAGTCTCTGCAGCCCTAGGTTGGAGGATACCGGAACTGAGGAATCCTGTCTTCCCCCACAATAAGAATGCCGTGATTCTCCGAGGGTGGTATGGACGCAAACTCCTTGTGGAGAGGGCGGCTAGACATCACACCCCTGCATTTTCACCAATGGGGCTTCTTCATCCTAGGGTTGACGTATTGGGTTGTTGTTTCATCATGGAAACTGATGTTTCCTTTTTTTTTTTTTTTCCCTAGGGGTAAATCTTATTTGTTTTTTAAATATTTATTTTTGAAAGAGGGAAAGACAGCGTGAGTGGAGGAGGGGCAGAGAGAGAGACACAGAATTTGCAAAGGCTCCAGGCTCTGAGGTGTTAGCACAGAGCCACATGTCGGGCTTGAACTCAGGAACCCCTAGATCTTGACCTGAGCCAAAGTCTGCCGCTTAACGGACTGAGCCCCCCAGGCGCTGCGTTGATAAGTTTCCTTATGAGAAGTTCAGGGCCAAGAGAATGGGAGGTTATGAACTCATATGAGGTTGAGACACGTCTGATTGCATTCAGAGTAAAACAAAAAAATTTTAAATTCCCCTCCCCATGCCATTGTTTTCATTTCCGATATACTAGGTTATACAGTGGTAAGCTATAGAGCACCTAGAATTGTTTTTCTGGAGGTGGGTAAAGCTAGACTCCCCTAACTCCTCACATTTGAACCAAATTAAAAAAAAAAAAAAAGCAGGAATGGCTGTCTATTTTTCATCTGAAAAATTTTCTTTTTCTTTTAAAACATAAGGAATGCACAGTATCAAAGAAAATTATGTTGCTCCAGAATGGGGGTCTTGTTTATTCATTTGTTTATTATTTATTAGTGCTTAATATGTACCAGAAGAGTGGGTTTGGTAAAGTAATAGGAAATAAGTTGGTCTCTGTCTTCTGTCCCATATGGTCTAGCAAGAGAGATGACACAAATAATTGCAACCTGTTGTGATAATAAAATAGCAGTTAACATTTACTTATTTATTTTGTGGTAGGCACTAGTGTAAGTACTTTACATATACTTTGAAGCAGGTACTGTATGTTATACAGTAGTAGAGATGTAAAAGGAGAGATATGAAGTAGGAAGTGAGGAACCCTGGGTTTGGACAGGAAAGACTATCTAGGAGAGGTGACAGTGGAACTGGAGCTTTAAGGATGTATAGGAATTCAGCAGGCAGATGGGGAATTGCATTTCAAGCACAATTCTTCTTGATCATCCATTAGGACTTTTTAGTGTAGTCCAAGGGCAGGATAAGATGGATTCATGAGTAGAAGATTGCTACTGCCGAGGAACAGAGGCCATCCGTTCCATTCATGAAGGAACATAAGGCAGGCTGAGGGCCATGTACAAACTAGGACACCCCTTCCCCCCAGGTGGGATAGGTATGATATTTCTTGGAACTCCCAGCTACTCAAAAACAGGAAAGCAGGAAAGCTCAAATAACAAATGGTTATACTGATAAAAGTCCCTACCAGTTTGTAAGGAAAAGGCCATCCTGTCCATGGCCTAAAGAGAACTCCCCACTCTCTTAATGTTAATGCTTTGCTGGAGAGAAAAGCAACCTTAGTTTGAAAATAGCTAGGCCTCCAGTAATCTATGAGTCTTTAGCATATGAAAGTCTCTTTGGGAACTTCCCTTTTGACTATACTTCGCCCAAGTCCTTGGTAGATAACCAGTCATTCACAGCCCCACTGCAGCTCTTTCTGCGTCCTGTCCCTGTGCTTTAATAAAATCACCTTTTGCACCAAAGACATATTCCAAGAATTCTTTCTTGGCTGTCAGCTCTGAGCCCCCATCACCCCATAACCTCATCAATATGTTCTGCAGAAGTGTTTGAGTTTTATCCAGTAGGTCAGAATTTTTGGAGAGTTTTTGCATTGGAGTCACCCAATGTGATTCCTATTTCTCAAGTATATAAAGATTAATTCCAGATGGATTAAAGATTTAAATGAATCACACACAAAAAAGAAAAAACAATGTAAGAAAATTTAGGGGAATAATTAGATAATCCTTGTGAGTAAAATAGGAAGTCCTTCTGTCATGAAAGAAAAAGACAGGCCAGGGCACCTGAGTTAAGCATCTGACTTTAGCTCAGGTCATGATCTCACAGTTCATGAGTTTGAGCCCCATATCAGGCTCTGTACTGACAGCTTAGAGCCTGGAACCTGCTTTGGATTCTGTGTCCCCCTCTCTTTCTGCCCCTCCGCTGCTCTCATTCTGTCTCTCAAGAAATTAATAAACATAAAACAAAACACGGGCACCTGGCTGGCTCCGTTGGTAGAACATGTGACTCTTGATCTCAGAGTTGTGAGTTTGAGCCCCGCTTGGGCTGTAGAGACTACTTAAAATAAAGTCTTAATAAAAAGAAAAGAAAAGGGGCGCCTGGGTGGCTTAGTCAGTTAAGCGTCTGACTTTCGCTTAGGTCATGATCTCACGGTTCGTGAGTTCGAGCCCCGCGTCGGGCTCTGTGCTGACCGCCAGCTCAGAGCCTGGAGCCTGTTTCGGAGTCTGTCACTCCCTTTCTCTCTGACCCTCCCCTCCTCACGCTGTCTCTCTCTCTCTCCTAGAATAAATAAAACATTAAAAAAGAAAAAAGAAAAGAAAAGAAAAGAAAAGAAAAAGACATATTTAACTAAATAAAGATGAAAAATACTTGTAAGGCTCTGGTTTAGTCTCTGGGGCTATAATAATGGAATTTGGCTCAATAGAGCTTATGTTCAAGTAAGGGGGTATTTAAATAAATAATACATAAATAAACTCTTTGGTGCTGGAGTTTTGAGGTGATGGTGGGGAGTTCAGAGCCTACAGCCAAGAAAGAATTCTTGAAGATGTCTTTGGTACAAAAAAGGTGATTTTATTAAAGCTTGGGGACCAGAACCGTCAGCAGAAAGAGCTGCCCTGGAGTTGTGACAGGTAACTGATTTAAAAAAAAATTTTTTTTTTAAGTTTATTTATTTTTGAGAGAGAGAGAGTGTGAGTAGTGGAGGGACAGAGAGGGAGGGAGACACAGAATCCGAAGCAGGCTCCAAGCTTCAGCACATAGCTTGCCACAGGGCTGGAACCCACACACTTTGAGTTCATGACCTGAGCTGAACTCGGTCACCCAACCAACCCAGCCACCCAGATGCCCCAGAAAAGTGATTATATACTCTCAGATTGGGAGAGTAGACTAAGTGTTTAAGGTGTTTTGGAAGCAAGGTTTCCAGGACCTTGAGGGGTAGGTGTTATTAGGAAAACACCATTTCATAGCATTTAGTAAAATCTCAGTCATGAGACCTTTCAGATGTGTATCAGGGGGCCGTAAGCTTGGAGTATGTTTGCCAGCATGTATCTTGGGGGAGTTGAGATCAAGGAAGTTTACAAAGGAATTTTCATACGTTGAAGTAAACTTATGGGATTCTAGGGGGTCAGAATAATGTTAAGCCAAGATTCCCTTTTGCCCCTAGCAAAGTGTCATCATCAAGGCACCTGAGCTTCTAGAGGGAGGTCACTCTGCCTGTTTTGAGGACTTGTCAGTGGGCTTTAGGCAGTAAGGGAATTTACTTTTTCCTTTGCCTTAGTTTCCCTCATCTTGCCTCATGCTCCCTCATCACCTAGTACTGGTAAATGTTGCTTAGAAACTAGGGTTATGTGAAAGAGAATACGTGTTGGGTGTGCTGCTTAGGTAGATGGTCAGAGTAAACTGCCAGGAAGTAACATTTGTGTAACTTGAAATGGTGAGGAAGAAGCCACACAAAAGTTTCCAGGGAGAGGCCCTGAGGCAGGGATGAATATGGTGTGTTGGAGGGATAGAAGGAAGGCCAGTGTGGGTAGAGTATAAGAGGGACATGGTAGGCGATGATTGAGAGTCAGGAAGAGGCCAGCTGGACATGGACCTGTAAGCAGGAGAGTGACAGGGCCTGATGCCCATTTGTGAAGATCATTATGGCCACTGTGTGGAAAATTGATTCTAGGGGATGTTACGGGCTGAAGTATGTTCCTCAAAAAGATATGCTCGAGTTCTAACTCTTGGAACCTTGTAAGTGTGGATTTATTTGGAAATAGGGCCTTTGCAGATATAATCAAGTTAAGATGAGGTCAGATTGAATTAGGGTGGGTCCTAATCTACTGACTACCCTCTTTATAATAAGAGGGAAATTTGGACACAGGCAAGACATACAGAGAGAATACTAATACTCTGTGAAGATGGAGGGAGAGTGGAGTATACATCTCCAAGCTCAGGAACACCCACATTTGCCTGCAACCACCAGAAGTTAGGAAGAGGGGAGGAAGGATCCTCCCCAAGGGCTTTCAGAGAGAGCATTGTCCTATGGACACCTTGATTTCAGACTTAACCCCCAGAATATGAAACAGTACATTTCTGTTGTTTTAAGGTCCGTGGTTTGTAGTAA